TTCGGCTTCCCTGGCTTCCTTGAAGGTAAACAAACGCTGTTGTAATTACGATTCTCGCGCGAAAGCGGAACACGCGGCGGGAAATAAGGAAAGCTAACCAAGAGCCAGAGGAGAAGAAGCTGCTGCAGCAGCAGCAGCGGTGTGTAATTTGTGTAATTAGTATCTTTTTATGTCGTTAACATTTAAGCGAGAGAAACGACTACGGCGATAGTGCGAGAACGCAGGCATGTTAATGGACGCGATAGCAAGTATGCCCGCGAGTGTTTCTGTCCCCCTCGTGCTTTATAATTCGTGAAACGACCAATTAACGTTCTAAGAGAGGTAGAGTAGGTGGTCTCTATCTTTCCTCCGCTCGTCTCCTCAATGACCCTCAAATGTTGCCCGTTTCGAGATCGTCGCGCAGGCGGCACGCTTATTCGCCAAGAGGAACCGCTCGTTTTTCGCGGGAAAGAACTAACTCTCTGACTAGATTAACTCTTAACGATTATATTTACTTGCGCGCACGAGAGAATAAATGATTTGCATTCTTTAGATGGCCTTGCTATAATAAAGATTTGACTCTGGAATTAATCCCTACTTGGGTAAGTAACATTATCCTTTTACGGGAACTATATCTTTTATAATGCAATGTATATACAAATATTTAAACATGCATAAATATATATAAATCATTTAGATATTAGAGATTAATTTCTTTTATCTTTTATATAAGGGAAAGAGGGAGGAGGATTATATAAAATGCTGTGAATTAGAGATTTTTTTAGGAAGCAATACATTTTTTAATAAAGTCTTTAATTTTGTAAAGAATTTGATACTGAATCACATGGTGATTGAATATAAATATGGTTTAATAAGATGTAAATGTATTTATATTTCTTCAAGCAGTAACATATATTGTACCTAATTTAAGAACAAATTTCGAAGAAAATAAATGTCCTTTTGCCAAGAGAGAATATTTAAATATTTTATGATATTAAACTTTCAACAATTTGAAAAATGTTAAGCTTTATTAATAGTCATTTATATTTTGATGAAATTAAAATGACTTGAGTTGTTCAACGTGAAACTATCACAGGACTGGTACCATCGAAAATATTACAAGGATAAGATTTAAAACTTGACAAAGAAAAAACAAACTAAAAATAATTATTACATTAAAAGAATAAAAAATATATATTATTGGAATTCTTTTCAATTTTAATATTTATTATTCATATACAGAGAGAATTTTCTCTTAGAATTTACCCTGAAAATCATGATACTCGCGTGGAATAATTTTATAAGAGTTTCTCTGATATATTTACTAAAAAATTATTAATATGTACATAGTAAAATTAACCGAACATATTTTATATCTTACAGTATAGATATTAATATTTTTTTCTTATAGTTTGCGGTAAATATTTAATTAAGAAAACCCCTATAAAATTCATCTAATACCATATTATCCTATAATCTTCAGGGTAAATTCTAAGAGAAAATTCTCTCCGCGTAAGAACTAAATATGCAATTGAAAATGTACAATATTCTAAAGAATTTCAACGACGCTGCGTTTAACTGTAATAAGAAATCATAAATCCAGACGGCGGACAATAAAGTTGTTGTTTGCGCGATACACTGTCAAGTTTAGGGTTAAAGACCCCTGACGAGGGTCCATTAAAATCCTCGCGGTGTGTTACACCGCGTCTAGATCGCTTCGCATGACTCGGCGTCGTTCACCAGGAGTCGGCAAACTATGACTCGCGCAATTTCCCAGCACAAAGGCTCCGGTCGGTTCGCGAAGCGAGAGAGAACACCCCATCCCATCGTCTACCAGTGTACAAAACGCGGTTTCGCCGATCGCGACGCGAGATCCGTCTCTTATCTTCCTTCGTTTTCTTCCGCGACGAAAGGAGGCGAGCGCACGCGTTTCTTCCCCGAGTGCGCGATATCTGCGATCGGGAGCAGGGCTTTCGAAGAATCTCACGCGGAACTATACGTGCATGCATGCATGCAAACGTATATATATATATATATATATATGTATAGTGTGAGACCATACCTGTTGCTTTCCTGATGCCGCAGCGCGACGCCAATGGTCGCGTGCGGAGAACAACGAGATCACCGACGAATAAAGATCCGGTCCCGCGAAGTTCCTCCTCGATGTCTGGCCGGAGGAAGGACTCGCTGATTCCGGGAAGAAGGCACGGGAGCATCAAACTCCCGTCGAGTTTCAAGAAATCTCGCCGCGAATCTGGGGGGGACGGATGCACCTGCACTTGCACTTGTCGCTGCACCACTGTCGCGTCGCGAATTCATCAACTGACACTGTAGAATTCTACGGTGATAACGTCGAGAGATAACGACTGTGGCGAGCATCGTCGCGGCACCGCCATAACACGCGTCAAATATAAAAGAGCGCCGGAATCGAGGAATATACGTTCAAAGTCGCGCGCTTTATATACACGTTTTTCTCGCACTTCCGTCACACTTATTCGCGCAACACGAGTTTGTTACCGCACTTCAATTCGGCGAATCGCTGCCAACTTCATCGCGACGGCACCGGCGCGAGCCGGTGAACCTTCCCAACCTCTCTTCGAAGGATGCAACATATTTTAATTTCGAATCGCACCATGCAATTGTCACGTCGATTATTATATTAATTGTAAACGGAGAGGAGAAACCCGAGCAGACACGCACAATCGTTATATCCGACCGCGAATATATTTGTTTTCGCGGACCCGCCGAACGGAATGAAGTTAGCCGCGGACACTCGCGAATCTTGGCGCATGCAACACAGTGTGTGTTCGCCGACGTGATCGGCGCACCGATGTACTTGCCAAGGGTGCCTTGTTCGATGGCGCGCCAACACGCAGAGTCAACCGATCCGAGTCGGACTGGCCGCCAAGAGATGAGGCCCAACTCCCCACTCTGTGAAGCGCGCCTCGACTGTTGCCGCTTCTTTCCTCGCGTCGATCTCTTCTCCTTCTTCTCCCTCTCGCGCTTCTTCTACCGTCCCGAATGCCCACTGGACGTTCTCCTTTCCCCAGCTACGCTCTGTTCGAGCGCGACTCAACGCTCTCGCATTATTGTATATCTTCTCTTCTTCTCGCGAGAGAGAGAGAGAGGGTTCGTCTTTCTTCCTTCCCTTACACGCGCGCGTAGATTTTCACTCGTGATCGTAAATGACCGTGCGATCGAACGTGAGTCGATAGCTCGCGTGTCGATTCCACTTGCAGTTAACTGCCTGCGCGCATTTCGCGGAAAGTTATCAAGAGCTGTCAGAGAGAGAGCCTTTGAGACTCGAGAATCTCGTGCGATTCGATTCCGGGAACAGTGATTATTATCTTTTCATCGAAAAAAAAATCGCGATTGATTTTCTGTGTTTATGTGTCTATATAGATGGTAGAACTGACGACGGATGTTAATGGACGATACAATCGATTATTGCGATTGCGATTAACGATAATCGATAATCGATATTACTTAATGGATCGCGATTATCTATAATTTTTCTGTCGTCGCGTTTCTTTTACGTATACATGTTCAAAGATCTTGATTAGGTATTTAAGTATACTAGATATAAAAATAAAGGAAACGTACACAGTTTTGAAAAAATTTGTGTTAATTTAACAATTATATTACTGTCCCAAACAATCTACAGGAATTTTTGTGTCAATTTAATATAATATGGATATGTTAAATGAAGACATAAATATATTGTGTAATATATTTCAACACAAAAATAAATGCAAAACTTCAAGTAATTTAAAATAAATTTGTATGTGTAAAATTAACATAGTTTTAATGAAAAATTACGTAAAATATATGTTAATTTTAGATTTTATCATCCCCACTTAGAAAATGAAAAATCACACATTTTTCTTCTGTAACTTTGAATAGATAAAAATAAATGCACATTGTGTTATCTTTACATCTTTTTTCAGTTGTTTTAATAATGTAACATTTAAGTTCAATTAGCATAATAGCAATATGTTAATTAAGAATATGTGTTAAATATTTACACAAAAATTTTAACAAGGACCGTTTTTAACAAGAAAACACAAATTTTCCTACTGTGAAAGGCTGTGTTTACCTAAGAGGTTATATTCGGAAAAAAATGCGAGAAAACTCGTACACTTTTTTCTTCTCGAAAAAGTGTATGAATGAAATTCTTAAGTGAACGTATTTTATATCCGAATCGCGCATTTTTTCTCGATCCTCTCCCCTTAATACACGACGACCTTCTCTCTTATGTTTGTAGTATTTGTGCCTCTCCCTCGCGTTACCTTTTCGTTCCCATTCTCTTATCTTCTTTTCCCACATTTAATATTCCGTATTCGTCTTACCCTCTGTCTTTTTCCACTCCGTTTCATTTCCACTTTCTGGTTGTTTCGTTCTTGTCCTGTGCATGTCTCCGCTTCGTTACACATCGTCATCATCTCTCTCTCTCTCTCATTACATGAGATTCGATGTTTAAGCTACTCAGCATAATTAAACATTAAATGAAACTAAGACAATAGAACCGTCACGATATCGATTTAATTAAGTCATTAAATAAATAATTACCGTAATCCTATAAAACCTTTTCTCCAAATTGATTTGAAATGTATATTATTTCTCGTTAAATAAACAAATATTATCTCTTGAATGTTTTAATAATTCTGGTAATACTGGCGGAAATCCGACATGAGACGGGTGTCTAATACCTTCCAAGAGATTCAAGGACGTATAATAAAACTAAGCATATTATTTTCCCCAATGAATGACGTCGCTCAGATGACAAGAAACACGACAGCCAAACCCTAAATTCTAAATTTAGGACGAAAAACGCGCGCTCGCCGACTGGTGACGGACGGGCGTCTCGAAGGTGTCTGAAGTGTCAGCGAATCCGAGTTGGCGCAATCAGGAGTCAGGTGTCGCGTCGGGCCGGCTCGGCCGCGATCGGCGGCGCTCGGCTGACGTCCCGGCCACGTGACCCTCGTCGCGAAACATGGCGCTGACTCGCGCACGAAGATGGCTGCCGCGCGTTACGAAAGACCGGACGATCTCTCGCGGGGAAGCCGTTTCCCGATCGTTCAATCGACGACCGCCGTGCCGCCGTCCGCTCTACACAGTCACGCACGGTGGTGGCTGACGACGCGATGCTATACGACATCAAATGGATCATCCCGCGACTACGGAATCCGTCCCGTTTGTGGAACATCGCGAGCAGCATAACCTTCGCGGCGGTGGGCATTTTCTCCAAAATCATCATAGGTAAGGATCGCCGGTCGTCGCGAAGATTCGCGACGATCACGACGATGAATCGCTCGAGTGAGACGGTTCCGCGACGACTTCGTCGCCGGGAACTCGTGGTGGATTTCAGTGATGGTGCGATGTGATGTGATGGTAATGTGATGGTATGGTGTGCGCGAGCGAGCGATATCTCATTTCCGTCATCGAGTTTGATACGAGTCCTCGTCATTGTTGCTGCAGATGATATGGTACTGTAGGACGACGTACGCGAATGCCGACCCGAAGGTTAAATGAAAATATAGAGCACGCGCTTATGGTATCTCGTTACGTTTGATTGACATTGACGGTGTCCGTTTCGTCAGCATCGCGCGCGGAAATATTACAGGCGCGCGATCGTTTACCATCCGCGAACCATCGCGTACCATCCGCTGGCTCGAAAACACGACGTGTGTTTATGGAGAGAGAAAAAATCAAACTCGAACATATACGCTTGATGCAATTATAGCGCGTGATCGTACGAGCTATATGATTGAAACAAGCCTTATCTGTCAATCGCCAAAGATCAGAGTCATGTGTCGTCATCAATCATTGTGTTAATTCAACAACAGATCGCTACTTGCCGCGGGCTTTACATTCTCAAGTCTCTCTATTAAACATATTCAATATGAATAATAGTACGCAACATTTTTTCTAAATAAACAGGCTTATGTGCATTCCCGATCAATTTTGAATTAGCATATGAAATCTATTACATAATGTGATTTGAATACTTCTTTTTGCATACGATATTTCTTGCTTCTTAATATTTTTTATATATGATACATTGATATAATTTATAATAAATTAAGGCACAGCAAAATACGATATTTGATAAAAATAAGCGTGTGACAAAGAATAAAAATAAATACAAAAAATGATTTCTACTCAACATGTAATTATGTTTAAACTTGACTATTAATATTTTTTTAAAAATACGAGTCATTTATATTCTTTAGTGATATTTTTTCTATGTATTAATATTTGTACAAATCTATGTAAGGTATTAATATTTGTACAATATCTATGTAATAAAAAATATATCAAAACATAAAATATAAAAACAGATAGAAAATATACATATATATATATGGTTGAAAGTTATAAATCAAATGCTATTCGTTGTTTTTTTTTTTGCGCGTTATTTTTGCCGATTCATTCGCGTAATACTGTGTGGAATAAAAAACGAAATTAATTCATATCGTATGCGTTGCAGATATATAAAAATCACTCATATGTTTGCTGCTCGTAATATTGAATGATAATTTAATGACGCGATCACTATTATTGCAAGATACTTTTTAAAGAGCAATTTCAACTTATCGTTCATTCCGTTCACTTATGATCGAAGCGAAGCGTATAATTATAATAACACGCATAATTATAGATAACACAAACATTTTGTGTTAAAGGAAGTTGCATTGTCATGATTGATAGAGTATTCAATTAATTACATACACGGTAATTATTTATTAAAACACTATATTTTCAGTGTTTGCTGTTATCAAGATAAAATTGTAGGTGATCATCTAGATGTTTTGGTAGTATCTTATTTTCACATAGATAATAAAAATATGTATTCTGTATATATGCATCTTAGAAAAAAATGTCATCTTTATTAAATTATTTAGAATAATGTGCAGATCATTTGGTTTAATCACAGCATATAAACATATTTAAATAATTGAACTTAAGTAGTAAGCCACACATAAAAACTTATAAATAAAAATAAGAATATATTTTTATATTCCTTTTTAATTTATATTTTTTATAACTGTGCTTACATAAGTAAAAATAATATTATCCGAAAGTTATCTAGATGAATCGCCATATAATTTCATCTTTTAGCTAGATATATATTTAAAACAAAATCGATGAATCTTTATTTTTATCTCATCTGTATCTAGCTAACTTTTAAATCATCTAAGCAACACTATATATTTCGAATTAATATATCGAGGAGAAAGAGAGAGCTTTCGATGTTGAAGATTGAACCTTGATTTTTTTGACAAATCTGATTTTTTGTGTCAGGCATCTCATGGCGAAACCAAGGTGAGAGTCTTTTCCGCGGACTCTGGACCGTATATACCGCGACTGCATAACATGAGTAAGTGTGTAATCTAACGCAAGTATTTATCTTCTGCATTTAAGAATGGCTGAACAAAACGACGGTGTACAACAAGCACATTATCGTGCGCGCCTTAGACCTTCGGCCGAAAAACGTTCCGCTCATTACCGTGTCGAATCATCACAGTTGCTTCGACGATCCGGGGATATGGGTAAGCTTTTTCCCTTTACACGTCATTCGTTAAGCGCCTTTCGGCATAATAATTCGCGTAATAACGTATCATCAGTTCCCTCTCTTCTTGGCCCTTGCCGTGGACTCGGCTGATTTATCGTCTCGAAAAAAAGACAAAGAAATAAAATATATGCACGCGCGTAGGAATCGTCCGAGGTGTAAAACGACGCGATCAGGACCCTGGTTCACAGTCTAATAAAACATTGCAGCATGTTTCTCTGCGATCCCGCAGTTAAAGGCCCGGGAGAGACAATGAAACTCGTCTTTGACTCAAAGTAGCCTGGAAATTCGAATTGTCTTTCGTTTGAAAAAGTTGAGTACCTTTTGGAGCAAGATTACGACACTCGAGATAACAAAGTTTGAAATAATTGCTCGATACATTCTAAAGTACTCGAGTCACAATGCTTTGCAAATCCAAGATTACTAAGATAAGACAATTATGAGAATATTATGAGTCAAACGTGAGAATGAAACAATAACAAGGTCTTTGTCTTTAATTCCATTCTGTCTCTCCGCCGGCCTTTAATTGTGCTAGTAATTAAATTTGCTTTGGTATTTTTCCACGCGTCGTTTTTCTTTCTTTTTTTTTTTTTAACGAGTAATAATAGTATTTTCTCGACATTATCAAATGTACGCCCTGTCCCCTCTTTTGAGACGTATTTTTCTTTCTCAGAACGACGCCGATACGCGATCGAATGAAAGAATTAAGACAGAAAAATCTCTGAACTCATTTAGCGACCCTGGACATCCAGCACAGCTTTAATCGACGTAAGATGCGATGGTCGCTCGCCGCCCAGGACATTTGTTTCACGAATGCCTGGCATTCCTACTTTTTCATGCTCGGCAAGTGCATACCCATCGTCAGAGGTGACGGCGTGTATCAGGAAGCCATGGATTTCTGCATCGAAAGGTTGGCCAGTGGCGAGTGGGTGCACGTCTTTCCCGAAGGAAAAGTCAATATGCTTAAGGAAGATATGAGGTTCGTAATCCTTTGCTCTGAAATTTAAGAACGCTGTTATAAATTAATCCCATCATACAATAAAAAAAAATAATTTGCAATTTATAAAAGAAATTTAATGTGAAATAATTGAATTATAAATTAATATATCTTTCATAAAGATGATTTCTTAAAACTCTAAATTTGTGAGAAAAAATTGTAGCTATGTCATCACTATATACAACGAGAATTAAATCAATGATACTATTTAGGTTGAAATGGGGCGTGGGTAGATTAATACTAGAATCGCCCGTCTTGCCTATCGTAATTCCTATCTGCCATCTCGGTATGGATGAAGTACTTCCTAACGAGCCACCCTATATGTTTAAAACGGGAAAGAGAGTTACCATGAATTACGGTGAACCCATAGATTTTAGTGGATTGCTGGCTGAATTGCGGGCGTCGAGAGTGAGCGAGATGGAGGCAAGAAAAACGATAACTGATCGTATTCAAGAAGAACTTTCAAGGTAATACCATTTTATAATGTAAATCTTCATGTTTCGCCAGCATTATTGAGTAAAAAAAAGGACCGATAACAAAAAGAAAGCAAATAATTATTTATTTAAACATTTTCAGATTGAAAGCAGTAACGGAAAAGCTTCACGCTAAGTTATGACGAAGATGATTTTTTTTCCGTCGTCCCAATGTCTAGCCTTAATTTACCAAAAATATAAAGAGATGTTTAATTGCGTGATCAAGAGTGAGATTTGTCTATGAACAATCTGTATGAGATCAGTTTCCTTTTTTAAAGCATTATGATCATATTGTAAGTAATATTTTTCTGACAATATTGAGTATCAGTTAACGTGTAAGTATCAATCGTCATAACAAGTCATTCTACGACGTTTTCGTCGTCTTTAATTATTCCTCTTGTAACTCTTCAAAAACCTATTAGGGCTATTAGAGACACATATAGGAATGTATCCGAAGTTGCGTATTTGTCAACTCTTCCAATTTTATACATCTGATAAAAAGGATCGTTTTTTATAATAATTCATATATATCAATATATTACATATATATATTAATTATCCTTTAATAGAAATTTGTTAAATTCAGTTTTCTCTTTATTAAGTAGAATTTTATTAAGTAGTGTTAATAAAAGTGAATCTTATTTATAATTTTTATTGATTTCATTGACAAAATGTTTAATTTTAAAATCACATAAATAAGTGATAAATAATTGAATATAAAAATTTTATTAACGGAAAGAGTTGACCGGAACTTTATCTGAAAATGATTAAGAAAAAGTGCGCAAACTCTGATACATGCAGCATATATTATATATTCCTTTGGAGAGTTACATATTTCTCGAATAATGTATCGTTTTTATAATAATTTATACATATATAAATTATTATAAAATTATATATATATTTATATATATATTATATATATATATATATATATATATATATATATATATATAAATATGAATATTTATGTACATACTTATACATATAAATATATGTATATAGTACGAATAATCGTAATACTATCACGAATCTATGATAATTATCAATAAAAGTTTTGATAGTACAAGCGAACTTTATATAATGTAACCGGGATTTAATGACAGAACCATAAAAACCGTGCCAGTACCTCATTCATTATTTTCAAAGACGGTTTAAGGTATCACTAATAGTGCAGGATATAACGCACACCTGGCCATTATTGATTATATGCTTCGCTCTCGTTACAAGCACCGTGCCAATTAACCGATTTATACTTGTTTTATTAGAAAACGCGTAATAAGCATGCTCACCTTTAGTCAAGGTAAATGAGCATTAAAACTAATACACGGCGTGTCTCATACATTAGACGAGATTCACACCACTTTTGTTATGATAAATTTGCATAAAGCGCAACTATATAGATGCAGTATGGACGGGAAATGATTTTATACTACGTCGTTTGATAACTCGAATAAAAAAAAACTAATTCGGTCATCGATGATGCATGATTGTATTTTTCTTTTTTTTGGGATATTTATTGTGATATATTTAAGTCGTTACAACAGCTCTGTTATCATGACAATCGCATATCTATATACGTTCCCGTGTGTGTGTGTGTATATATATATATATATATACACAATGTTGAATACACATACTTTTATACTATACACACGGACTGCTATCAAAATTTTGGGATTATTTAAACATGATCAATTTATATATGTATGTATTACTTGTTGAGTGTATATATATATATATATATATATATATATATATATATATATATATATATATATATATTACTAAGTATTAAAATACCCGCCTTTTTCGTCTGAAATAAAATTGTCTTGTTTGTTTCATCAGTTGACTCGACATTTATTTAACAAACTTAAAACTTTGTTCCCTTCCCTAGGATACGTAAGGTTTCTATATAATTTCTCTGCATACTATGTACATTACCTGTTTATAAATGTGTAAGGCATATGACAATTCTGCAAAAAATCATATCATTTACAAGAAACTCTTAAAGAGCTTTCGTTATTTACTAGTTCTGTAGATTTTAATGCTATTTATGCATAAATTATATTATATTATAAAAGAATATTCTTTTTTTATCGTTTATCGTTCTAATTGTTTCTTGAAAGAATATACAATCAAGTAATAGTCTCTGGTAATATCGCACTGTTTTTGTTGAATATAAAACATGAAATTACAAAAGTTTATCTTTTTATACTCTTGAGTATATAAACAACTTTTTCGAAGCAGATCTAATATAATAAATCTTGAAAAATAGCAATAAATATTCTATTATATGTTTTTGTTATTATCATTATCTATACCAGAGATTGTATTTGATGAATCATAATTACACAGTTGTCATATACATCTAAAACAGTGATAAGTATATTAAAAGATGTGGTTATATACATTACAATTTTTTGTTAGATCCATAGATAAATGGATTTATACGGGACACATACTTGTTCGTAACATACAGAAATAGATTACGTTCTATGTGAGACAATGTCTACTGCTGATATCATATTATTCATAAATACGAATATGATATATCCCTTGGCACGTTTTTAAATTTCGTAAAACTAGACGTTCCAGTCTCACGAGCGATACAAAAGCGGCGTACGATCTTCGCATTTTACCGTGCAAACACAAACGAGAAGTAGATATTTATACGTATTTATATGTATTTATATTATATATGTATTTATATATATATTTCATAAACTCTCTTTGAATAGTTAAAACAGTAGATTAGTATAACCAGAGAAAATTTTCTTAATATATGTACGTACATACTATCACCTTATTGTATCACTGCCTTTTTTTGTTTGTATTCAAACAAATTTAATATGTACATTCCGAAAAGAGAAAGACGAGTCACGAGTAATAACGAAGTATAAATCGATCGCGAAACTTGGCCCACAATCATAAATAAGATGTATTATCATCTTCTATGGTGTTATTAATTGATATATAAATAGGAGAGATATGTTGGACTAGAAAATGCAATTTCTTATAGTCATATTCTTGATTCAAACGCAACTATAATATTATCAATCAAAATAATTTTAGAAATGTTTCAAATTGCTCCCACCATCATACTTATTATACATTCTGTACTAGATAATATATATAATACATGCTCCTGTTATTATATTCTATTAATATTTCTAATAGCTTAAATAACTTTTAATGTACAGATATTTAGGAAGAATATGATGTAAGATTCGTAAAGAATTGGCAATTTTTCAAAAAGCATTTATTATTTTGATTAGTTGTTCTGTATATGTTTAGGCTCGTTCTTGGACGGCAAGTCTATAAGCGAAGCAAGCGTTGATAGATTAGATTTCGTAAAAACAGAATAGGCCAAACGAAACTAATATCGATTATACATTACAAATATAATATTTATATTGATTTAAGCTAGAAATCTTGTCATGTAGCAAGAGCACATCACACTAAAATAAGAAATTTCAAAATTTCAAAAATCTATAAAATGCAAGTATCGCGATCGAAATAAAAGAATATTCCAATTCTATACATATATAGGAGTCACGAGGAGCATGACACAGTTATATCATTCAGGCAATCTCTGAATTCAATGTAATAATCTACAGGTACATCGTTTGTTCTAATCAAGCACAAGCAAGTTCTTTGTCCGACATTGTATGGCAGTCACGCTAGATTTGAAATAAATCTACGTGGCTTTTCTCCCTTTGTTTGTATCTAATCCTCTCTAATCTATATATTTACCTTTCGTCTATTTATCTAACGATGACCATTTGCAATCCTTCGCAACCTATTCTTGTCGAAATTGCAAATACTACCGAGTAAAGCAGCACGGTTGTTTGACGATTTTGATACACTATTTGATACATTAGATGTTTCAGACGGCGGCGGCAACAAAGGTGGTGGCGGAACGCCTTTGCCAGGAACTGCATCTCCATGCGGAATATCTACAGAACCTTGAGTGGAAAAAAAATGAAAAATAATATATGGGCTTTGCAGCATACATTTTTCGTTCTAAGGAATTGAAGTAAGAATTGTCTATTTTTTTTAATAGGATACGCAACTAACTGTATATGATATTTACTTATACATTACAGGCAACATTGAAAAATCTGAAAATAACACGCAAGCTAAGCGTAATTTTCAAATTACAAGAGTACAGAGAGAAAACCTGCAGAGCAACAGTGAGGAAAAAATTCGATGAAACAAGGATGAGAAAATAATTATGAAAAGTTGTTGGACATTAAGATCTGAATTGCTCGAATGACCTACGTGAAAGGAATGACCGCAGTACGCGCCATCAACTTTTGTGTCCAGCTAATCAAGAGATGTAGAAATGTAAATGTCAATTAGCAATCAACGACAATAGCAATGAGGAACATTACAATGACTTACGAAGCGATGGAGGAGTCAACGTTCCAACGCTGGTAGCTGTGGATGTACTTGTTGGACTGTCTGAACGCTCTGGACTCTTACCGTTTATTTGTTTTGTTCCATTTGTACTTAGTTGCGATGCAGAGCGTTGTTCCTGCGCCAATTTCTGTTCTTTCTTCTGTAAAATATAACAATCGAAATGAGATCCTCTCTAGATCTCGCTACTCTTTGTTCTGTAAACTTTTTTCTTTACTTTATTACATACCAATTTATGCTTTCGTTTTTTCATCTCTTCTTCAGAACTCATCATTTCTTGGACTTTGACAAGCCTTTTCTGATGCCGGGCCACCTTCTGTTCATCGCGCAATCGCTGTTCAGCTTTATTTACAGCTTCTTGCAAAGCTTCCTTCAAATGATTGCTCAATTTGAAATGTGGCTTTTCCACAGTGCCAATGGCCAACGCGGCACGCCTTGCCGATTCGAAAAATGAATGTTCCAACAATCGAGTCACTGTCGGCAAATCTTGTTTTAGAGCTTCTGGCGAAAGTATAACTTCCAGCAAATTTTTCAAATTTGCTTCACAATGCGGTAGCTCAGAACATGTTGCTTCCATAAGCGGTCGTCCAAATGCCATTTCGTACAAAACATGTCCAAAGGAATACACATCAACCTGAGTCTATTGAGAAAAATACATCAAAATATGTAAATTTTATACATGCAAGAAAATATTTATACAGAAAATATAACTTAGCAGGATAATTTTTCACGAAAAATTCAAAATGTAAAAAAAAATTTTTTTAAATTTCTCGAAAGAAATGACTTTAAAAATTAAAAAATTATGTTTTTTTTTCATTTTTTTCTCAACACTTGATTGTAACATTAATTACAAACTATATTTTGATTACTGTATATTTACCGTGGCATGTAATTTACGCCTTTGCACTACATAAGGTCGATAAAATGCTGGTAATCCTAGAAGTCCATTTTCTATATCTAATAATTTAGCGCATCTTGGGGTCAAAAGGACATTACCAGTATGTAAATGTCCATAAGGTAATCCCTTCTCATGAAGAAATCCCAGAGCCTCCAATATCTGCAAACCAATATTGTTATAAAAAAATGATCTCAATATATCTCACTATAACGATTCTTATATAAAAATGTTTAACCTGATAACCATATGTCGCGACTTCTTGCGTTGTCAATGATTTTATTTGTTTTGGATTTCCATACTTCTTTATAAATGGCTGTTTAGGCTTAGTGACACATAGAATATCACGTAATGTGCCCATTGGATAGAAATTTCTTATCGTTAGTGCTCCATTGTCTGTAACATGTTGATGCACAATTGGTTCGATGTAAGTGTGTCGTAGAGAGCCCAGAGTCTTGAAAACTCCTTGTAAGTCTTTATCTTGCAAATGTTTGTCAGGGCCAAACTCGACCCAAGCTAATAAGAGTTCTTGTTTTGCATTCTGACGATTTTTCACTGTATAATAATGTTTTCGTAATCTCCATCCCATATCAGGGATGGGTTTGCATACTTCAAAATTGGCATCGCTCCTTAATGCTAATGATACTTGTTGTAGCGCAATTTCTGTAGAACAGATAAATAGTTTTCACAGTTTTATTTAACAAAATAAAATATTTAAAATCAAACATGTGCATCCTTGTATTATTCAGAAAAGGTTTATATTTGATTATAATCTTTATGATATTAATTATTGTTTCTAATGTGTGTGATATTTAAGATATCTTATATTTATAATATGCTATCTTGGTGAGAAAAAAGCTTACCATGTAGTGGTGCTGTATAATTCTCAGGGTCTAAAAACTTTTTCATGGGAAGTGAAGATGCCAGTATAGGATTCATTAGTACTATGTTTAGATAATTCTGAAAAAAAAATAATATTATTTTATTTATCGCATTGCATCGAATATAAAATACCTTATACATATAAGTAAGCATATTGTGATAATGAACCTGCAGTGCTATTTGTCTCTGAGCTATAAAGTCTGGCTCCATATTACCAATAATCCTTTTTGGTGGTAGTGGCAGATCAAAGCCAGATATGGATAAAGTCGCATTGAGCTGTACAAAGTCATTGTAACGTCTGCTCACTCTCCAGGATCTTTCAGGAAGCGGACCTCTCTGTGTTTTGATTACGTACTCCTGAATATATACGTATCAGAGTTTTCAGTATACATCTAACAAGTGAACAATAAATATGGCTGTATATATAAGTAAAATATACAGCGGACAGACTATTCCAATTTAATTAGTGTACACAAAACAAATATAATGTCAAAATGACAAAATATAATTCAATGCCAATGAGCTGTACAAAGTCATTGTAACGTCTGCTTACTCTCCAGAATCTTTCAGAAAGCAGACTTCTCTGTGTTTTAATTACGTACTCCTAAATATATACGTATCAGAGTTTTCAGTGTACATCTAACAAGTGAACAATAAATACAGCTGTATATATAAACAAAATATACAGCGGACAGAATATTCTAATTTGATTGGCATACACAAATGTTAAAATGACAAAATATAATCCAATGCCAATGGGATGCAATATACCAAGAATCTGTATAATTTAGATTTTGACAGATGAAATATAAGAAAGGGAGGGGGAGGAGACGAAATACCGTATGTCCGTCGATGGTCCTCGCATTTTCGATGACACTGGTCAGCTGCTCCGTATCATCTAACAACACTTTATTCGTGTATCTCTTCTCGAATAAAGCCATTGATCGTTAGTCTGACGCGAGGCAGGGCCCGTAAGGGACCAATTGCGTTTGTCTCTCGCACAGTTCTCGCGCGTCGCCATACATGACGCGCTTCTGCATCATTTCAACATTGGTGAATGCACGGCGGCACTTATCGCGGAATATTTTCAATGTCAGCTCGACACACGGGCGAACAGGGGAGAAAGGATTATGCGATAACTCGTTGACGCGCAATCAAATCCTATATACACACAGCAACGCAGCTCACAACACCGAGATTTGACAACACACTCGCCGATCAGGTTGTCACTGGTTGTCACTGTGACGTCACGCCGGCGCAGATAGGCGGATTCCTAGAAAACTTGTATACAGTAGATGTTCCTCTATTCTTTACCCTTTTATTCTGGATCTCTCTCTATTCTGTAGCAATGAAATTTTCCTTTTATTTACATGAAAAAATATTGTTCTTTGTAACAATGGGGCTCGTTGTCATTTTATATATTTGCGGCAGCTTCTTTATCAATTAAAGAATTTATATTTGTTTTGCTTATTTCTACGTTCTTTCTCTTAATCAAATATATATATATATATATATATATATATATATGCATTGTCGCGTTATCTCTTGTTTTGAGTGCAAAAAATTAAATAAAGATTGTAATTTAAAGAGGAAAAAATTTTAGCTCCTTTTATTTTGATTAATCAAATTCTAATTATTCATCTTTTCATTTGTAGTTTGATATGCGGGATATATTATTCAAACAAAAATTTGCAGACATAATATATGAAAAATATATAATAATAATATGCGCAAAAAAATTAACTAATCATTCGGCTAGCTAGTACGAAGAAGATACCCAGCAAACACCGATATATAATTAATTGTTACATTGCTATAATAAAACGGAATATAACAGTGTACGTTACATGTAACATCCATGTTATTTGTAATTTCCCATTCATAGATGTAACATTTTAATATAACATATATTACATGTAGTTATATTAATTGTAGTTATATTAATTGTAGTTATATACCAAATAGCACATTGATGTATTGATAAGTCAGTGCTATCTTGGGATATAATGACAATATAACTACAATGTAATATATGTAATATTAAAAATGTTACATCTATGAGTGGAAAATTACAACTAACATATACGTTACATGTAACATGCTTAAGTATATAACATTTATATGCTGTGTTTGCTGGGTAGCATAATGACTTTTTGATTAATTAATTAACCCATCCCATATATTTTGATTAATTAATTTGTTCACGTATATACATTTATGCAAATTTCTGAATAAATTCTTAATGTTCTAGAATTTTTTAAATTTCCAATTCTTATTTTTTTTCTTCAAGGGTTTGTTCGAAAATATTACTCGCAGAGTAAGGTTGCATTGGTTGACCAATCAGGATCCAAAGAAGCAAGTGACAAAAAGTCACTAGTGACAAGCGAATAGCCCGCACTCTGGCGATGAAGTAGAAAGCTAAAGCAGCGTTCGAGTCGATCATCACGCAATAAAACTGTGTTCCGTTGTGAAGAAAGCATCCATATTTACATATACATTCGAGAGACTCTTTGGCGCGGCATAAAAACAAAGATTGGAAAAGGTTAAACGAGCATCGAGTCGCGTAGAGTGTTCGATTGAATTCGAGTACGAATTACAATCGGGAATTGTGTCGAGAATTGTATCAGGAAATGGAGAATAGCGGTGAAAGCGGAGACGATGGTCCCTTAGGATCATCGTCGTTCCTCGGAGGAAATACCGTGGCGACGTCTTATATTGGCGTACAATCGGATATGGAAGGTAGGTCAGCGTTAAAAATGTCGACGTCGAGGTATACATCCTTGATATTGTCGAATATTATTGGACTTCTTCACTCGTTATTCCTTTAACCTACAAATTGCGTCTTATACTTCAAGCCTTCCTTCAAAGGTACACAGTAATTTTTCAGACTACACGAGGTGTTTGTATCTTAGTTCTATTTCATTGTACTCTAATTTCAATCGGATATTTTAATTGTGTTTTATATCTTTATCAAGAAATTTCTATGACGAGGTCAACTGTTTCGAAAATTTTATCTTTTATCTATTTTCTTATATTTGAATTATTAATATTACTGCATTATTTTTATAGAAATGTGGAGGTAGAAATGTATCAATTATATGTAATTTATTAAAAGATTGATATTTATGTAACATATTTACATATATGTAGTTACTCCTTTGTAAATCATTACAAATCAAATTTGGAAATTAAATTAAACTCGTTTGGATTTGTGTAAGACAATATATAAATTTTAACAAATGCTTTTAATTGAAACAGATGACCCTGAGAACACGGATGATTCCAATCATGGTGGCGGAGATCCTTTGCAAAGTCCTGGAGTTTCTGCTGCTGGACCGCTTCGCGAGCAGGATCGCTTCTTACCAATAGCAAACGTCGCGAAAATCATGAAAAGAGCTATTCCAGAGTCGGGAAAGATAGCTAAAGACGCGCGCGAATGTGTTCAAGAGTGCGTGTCAGAGTTCATCTCATTTATCACGTCAGAAGCGAGTGACAGGTGTCACATGGAGAAGCGTAAAACTATAAATGGTGAAGACATTCTTTTTGCGATGACTACTCTTGGTTTTGATAATTATGTCGAGCCCTTGAAAATGTATCTGCAAAAATATCGCGAGGCAACAAAAGGTGATAATCCACCCAATACTGGAGCTACAGCCGGCAATGGAAAAACGGAGCCACAAGGCATGTATGAAGATCAATTATTTGCCATTACTGCGACTGCGTCCAGCGTAACCACCGCTGACACCTCGGTCATCTATAGTTACTCGGCTAATGAGCAGATGCAGTTTCAACTTTCCTGATCATTGGGAATTAAAGTGATATCGATATAATGTATTTGTTCTAAGACACACTGTGATTTGTGAACAGATCATAAGGACGATTGCGCACAGATTACAATTGCGTGAAAAGGAGAGAAACGGTTTTTTGCCTAGCGATATGTGGGCAGCAAAGTATTTTAAGTTTTAACGTTTAAGCATGATCATTGTAAGATTCGGGTCGAGAGACAAGGTGTCGCGAGTTATGATAATTTTAACATTTGTAAAGAGAAGCAACTTGTAAGTGTGAGCGTAAATAAAACCAGGAGACTGAGAGACCCGGTCGAACGGTGATGGATTCTTTACTTTCGACAATACGACAAGGAATAGAAAAACGTAGCCGATTCCTTTATTTATCTATTGTTTTTTTAAGATCTAAAGACGCATGTTTAAACTACTCTTTAGGCTGCGAGAACTCGCGGTTCAGGCCGCTCAAAAACAGAAAACTAGAGTCGAGTAATTGGGCGAGAACCGGCAGTAAATCGGCGCATATATATATATATATGTATATATATATATATATATATATATATATATATATATATATATGTATATGTATATAGAATTTCATTTCGTAAAAAACGTTCGTGGCGCGCGTTAACGTTGTACGTCCTTTCACTCCGGTAATTGGGCAGGTGAGAGCAGGAGCTCGTGTCCCTTCGTTGCCGGTGATACGGGCCGGCTGGTGGGTGCGATCGGTCGTTCCTGCTGCGTCGCCGGCAACAGTGAGGCGGTCGACAACGTTCCCGGTCGCGCTTCCGCTTTCCTCGCCTTCTCCTTCTTCTTCGAGGCCACCTGACAGAACTGCCAGCGGCACTGGCCGCACCGGCACAGACAGAGGCACAACAGCACGCGGAACAGACAGCACAGCAATCCGGCGCACAGGAGCGACGGGCCGACGAGTCTCAGCTGCGGGCTCAGGAAACCCTTCTCACCGGTGCCGACGAACGAGATAACTAAACCGAGCGCAGTGGTCCCTAAACCCACGTAGAGCACGGTGTTGACCGCCGCGCTGACCTCTCCCCTTTGCCGCAGGGCGTTACTGCTGTCATCTTCCTCGTCGTCGCTGCTCCCGTAGCAGTAACTGGCGTCTCTGATCTAGCACACACATAAGCGTTAAACTTCATTTTTTATTTAATTTTATTATAGCGTAGCAGGCATGGATGTCCGCGGAAGGGGATAAGAGGGTGCATTTGCTCTCCTTTTGAATTAAACATTGGAATTTATTATAACAAAAAAATTAAATTTAAAAGAGAATTTTAATCATGCCTCTTCCTGGAAAAAATCCTGCGGACATCCATGGTAGCAGGAATGTATTGTATTTCATTCGATAAAAACACAATATGTATTAATTTTGTCGCAACACCTTATATCTTCAAGAATATTTCATTGTCATTATGCAATAATTATAAAAAAATTATACATTAATTGATATTAATGTATAATATTAAATATGTAATGAAAATAATTTTGTCTCTTTTCTCTATTTAGAATGTGTCTACTATTTCATGGATGACTAGTACTATTGAAAAAAATTACCCTGTTCCTTTTCATCCATCGTCGATGTGCTTCGCACTGCTTCGTCCTGTAGCCATCTCCTCGATATCCAGGTGATGTAGGAGATAAGGGAAGGGGGGAAGGTCTGTTGCATCCTTGCCATGCTGCCTTACCGCCAGGTCCTTGACCGCCGCACTGAAATATGTAATTCTCAGGCATATCGTTACAAGCCAATTTGTTGTGAATGATGTGATCTAGTTGGTGATTGTGATTAGGTAACATTATTTATTGTAAAATTTATTTTTAATTTGCACAGTAAATTTCCTCATAAGAGAATTGTCTGTTTTGATATTTTAATTAACACGTAAGATCCTCTTCGAAAATTGACATACGCTTTGTTATATATGAATGTGAACGAAAATTAATGAAATTACTTCAGTCAGAAATGGTAGGAGAGGAGGATTGAATGTTTCAACGCAGTGATCGATAACGCATATTCAGATTTGTCCCGAGATCGCTATTGATCGGCACAAAGAAGAGTATTGATCGATGAAACGTGCACATGTATGCGAGCGATCTAATCTATAACGAGTTTGGTTTGTAGACGCTGATCCACACGGAAGGAACGCGCGACTATTAATGTACAACACGCTCACGCGAAGGATCAGGATCAAGATCGCTTTTCGACGCGGCCGTGACTCTTGATACTTACCCCGTACACGTAAGATCGTGGGGGATATCGTGGTAGCGGTGGAATGAGTCTGGTGGCGAAGTTGGAAGGTAATTCTCTAAAATTCACCACCTTACCACCCCGCAATCGCTGTCTATCTCGTCTATCTCGTCTAATCAATAGAGCAGCCTGCATTCCGCTTATTCATTTGTACCGATCGTCGAAATTTTTTTCAACCCCCTCAATGATTGCCGGTTTTCTTTTATTCTCTCTCTCTCTCTCTCTTTATATCTCTTTTAATCCTTTTTTCTTTTATCCTCGATTAAAGGATCAAGAGAAACTACTCTTTCGGAGTCCACCTCAGAGATTATCCGCCATCGATCCCGGACGGTACCGGATGTAACGATATACATCTAACGTCGTGCTACCCAACGTCAACATCGATCGTTGCTCGTGCTCGCCCAAGACGATAATCGCGGAGGGCATGTTTCACGCTATACTGAAATTACATTGCGGAGTTTGCTTTAGCCAACCTAAGAGGACCCTGAAGAGAGATATATTCGGGCTTGGAGAATCTGTCGTTTGCTTTCTCACACCGTTTGACAGATTTGCTCGCGTGTTATTACGCCACCAGACAGCCGATCGATGCTATTTGCTATATACGTTGCACGAAAGAGGTGCCGACAAGAGAGATGTGGTGCAATCAGAAAGAGCGTATACGCTTTAAGTGAGTCGCGCTAAAGCGATAGAGTGGGTTTATATAATCTTTGTTAATCTAATTCGTCAATGCGATATCGTGCACTTGGCAGAGATAACGGCTGCCTGTTGTGTCCAAGTTTCAGCCAATGTACATATGTATATTCAAGTAGATATAAAACTGAAGCGAAGGGAAGATTAAAATGGTCTTGCTTTGGCTATTGAATTTTTTCATGATGAAAGAAGACACTATTAAAAAAAGTTAATCTTTATTGTGTCGACTTCAGTAATTGATATAATGTGCTTAGAATTTGCAGACTTGATTAAATAATATTAAAAAAAGGGTTTGGTAGTTACACATGTGCACGGTAAACAATAATGTAAGCGCTTAAGATAGCGTGTAAAGACTTTGAAAGTATATCATAATTTTGTATAGTTGCTAGATAGCTCATCATCATAGCCTTGACAACATGTGTTACAAGAATATGGTATTTCAACAGTTTTCTCTACCTAATGCGCGCACTGCGTGACGTATTAATTTCACTTTGCTTGTGATTTCCTAGGCGCATATATATATATATATAGATAGACTTGTGAACTATATGTAAGAAGATATGAAAGGTGGTAAAGAGTTGGGCGATAGAGAGCGGCTAAGAGAAATAGCGTGAGCTGGCCGAAAGAGGCTGACATTATGAGGAGAGAGTGCTCAACGATGTACCCACCTGTAGCTCCGAAGTAGGAGGCGAGACTCGGAGATCGAGGACCGAGGACGGCGGAAAGGGAAACTTGCTAGACTTGTTGTTAGCCGGATAGGTGGTTGCGGACGCCGAGGACTCGAGGGAAAGCGGGGGCGGCGAGATTGGGAACTGGATCGGCGAGACCGGCGGGACCTGCTGCTGGCGGGACCTGTGATGATCGGTGTGGCGGCGCCGATCGTCGATGACCGGATGGAAGGCGGCGGACGACGACGACGTCGAGGTCAGCGCTTGCTGATGCGCACGCGGGACTTGCTGACAGGCGGCGGCGGCGGCGGCGAGCTTGGTCGGGGGATGATGATGATGGTGATGGTGATGATGATGATGGAACTGGTGATGGTGCTGGTGCTGATGTTGATGCTGATGCTGATGCTGGTGGTGCTGATAGTGCTGCTGCTGGTGATGACGCGAGCCAGGGGGTGCGCCGCTCTTCAGTCTTGGCGGGACGACATGGACCGGCGTTTGCTTGTTAAGCTGCAGCCGCTTCTGTTTCCTCCGGTTGGCGATGCTGGCACCACCCGCCGCGGCATACATCGCTTCACGGGTTGCCCAATCGCTTCCTCACTTCCCGTCTCAAAGCAACCTCGGGACGCCCCCGTTTCCCGTTACGAGTTAGATTCGCATGGTCGCATGATGCGCCGATGATGGCTCCTTATCATGTCAGGCATGTCTCACACTCCTTATTCTGTTCCGGAAGAATTTGTTTGCCACCTTTTTCTTTTCTCTTTTTCCTCCCTCTCCCTCTCTCTCTTTCTCTTTCTCTCTCTCTGTCTCTTTTTCTCTCACCCTTTTCTTTGCCTCTCTGGAAAGGCAAGAAAGGTGACGGAGCTCCGCCCGTTCTGGCGCCCATCGTTACGGTCTACGTTTCTAAATCGCTATGCGGCAAGCACGTTGAAAGCGATTCATTTTACGTTGAATAGAGTCACCACTAATCAGCGAACGCGTAACGCAATATTTTCTCGGGGACTCGTCATGGACATAGGATGTCACGTTTGTCTTCAATATGCATAGCTGGTTCCGAGATACGGTAGTTTTTTCCCTTTGACTCAAACAGTTTCAGAGATCCGATTTACAAACAATATATCAAATTTATTAGTTTCAGATATAGTATCACGTTTTTATATTTAAGGCGCAATAAGCATTGATTTAAAATTTAAATATTGAAGGACAAGGACAGAGACAAATTATTGTAGTAGTACAAAAAATATGTGAAAAGCGCTATTAATCTCTTGAATCGGAATATTAACACAAGTTCACGTTCTAGATCTATATTATAGATATTGCAATATTGATATTCATTAGCATGCAAAATTTTGAATACTCCTGTAGGAATGGATTTTAATGCTATTTAATCTTAAAATGATTAAATTTTATCTATATAATTTTTGTTATATAAAGTACTTTACTCGGTTATGCGTTCGCTGGATGTAAAAAAGTAAGTATATATTAACACTACCATGCATGTAGCAAGCAATTCTATGTTACCAAAGAAAACATATTTAAAGATGAAAATTCTGAGAAGATATGTATATGAAAAATGTTTTAATAGTATACAAATAAAAAAAAATAGCAACAGGAGTCGAAAATAACAATTTTTCCTTTCCTAATTTCTTTATGAAATGTATAAGTAAAAGATATGTTTTGCTCTGGTTTTTTAATTTGCTTTGAATTTCTTAATGCAAAGCAAGAAAAGTTGCATTTAATTTACGTTTACCTAGTTGCTATATCTATACATCTATCACTCTACATAAAAAATTCATATAATTGTATGTGTGCGCATGTACAGAAAAGTTTTTCATGATATTGCGGATTTCTTTTAATGTTGCATAAATTAATGGTATCCTTTAATTTAATTAAATTTAACAAATATAATGGTTCACAGTAACATAAATTGTTCAATTAAAATATATATTAAATATATAAATTTTTTAAAAAGACTTGTTCTTAAAAAATTGATTTAAAATATTTTAAAATTCCATTTAAATATATAATAATAAAATTCACTGCAGTGTCACATTATCGTTGTAGAGTGTCACATTATCGAAAAAAGGTGTGATCTTAAGATAAGTTATGCATCAATCGTGACTATTAATAAAATTTCATAATGCGAACCAATTTATAATATCTTTAGCTTATTAAAATAAAACTTATTTTTTAAATTTTACTTTGATAAAAAAGTACACGTTAAATTATTCTAAAGACCACAAAAATTTATAAAAAGACTTAATTTGCTTTACATGTGTGTGTGTCAAACGCGCGTCGCGTTTATAGATCTGCAGATTTTTGCAAAGATTATGATAACTGAATTGTCACACACATTATATAGTTCATGTTTATCTAAAAAAGAGCGAAAAGCAATTTCTACTTGTGCATATTTATACATATATTTATATCAAAAGTGCTCGACTATACACCGCAAGCGTTGCAAAGAAAAAGCAGTGAGAATAGAATATATTACAGAGAGTATATATTATACAGTAAAAAAAGTTTCCGTAGTCCACGTGCAAAATATATGAACTTTCTTCACGATTATGTCGATCTATAAATTATTTACATTATTTACATTGAAAGTCGATCAGTCGGCTAGAAACGGGAATTGAAAGAGAAATATTCGGAAATGTTCAGAAAAAGAGAGACTATAAGGCGATTAAAAATGTATGATAGATGAGTTGGATGATAAGCGTTAATCGTGTCTATTGTAAGCGAATAAGCGCATGCATAGACGACGAATGCGTGCACGAAGATATATAGACAGAGGACACGTATTTAACGCGATAGTCTGCGCTGCGGACATTCGCGGGACCAAGAAGGTCCACGATAAATACAACACGTAAGGGATACCGGAAGAGGAGTGACCTAGTCTGATACATTAGCTATTCGTGATAAAAAGAAAAAGAAGTTACAAAGGCTGGCTGGTGGTCCCCGAGAAATGTCATGTAACTTTTTTCTTTTTCGTATATCGTTTTCTCGCGACAGAGATGAAAATTTCTCTTCTTTTTTGATTTTACAGGGTGGAGAAGAGAGGTCTAGGGGATACAATGAAAAACGAGACAACGACGAGATAACGAAAAGGCTCGAGTGTACATATTTTCTCTCTTTTTTCTTTCAATTCGCTAGCAACCGCTGCAGCAGCGGACGGCGGCTTCAACGGCAGCAACAGCAATAATATATAGCAAACAAAAACAAGAAACAGGCATCAAGCCAGCCAACAACATCAAAAACGACTGCGCGTACCGACAAGTTGAGAAAAAGAGAGAGGTATCGCCACTGTGTGTGTGTTCAACCCCTTTTTTCTCTCTTCCTCTTTTCTCCTCTCTCTCCCTCTCTCTCTCTCCCTCGTTTCCTCGATTTGTTCACAATAAACAGTGGTACGTCGACATTTTGTCGCTCCGCGTTGCTCAATTCTCTCTTTTTTCCGCTGCTCTCTGTTTTGTCCGTGTCACTATCACGACGGACGATATGGAACGACGAGGGTGACGCGGATTCATCGAATGGCGCGTCTCACTCGATCGCCAAGGAGGCGCACGAAGCCTCCATCGCCCTCCTCGCGTATGCAGACGCACCCGTCACCCCCGAACGAGCGTGCGACCACCGACTGACGACGACGACGACGGCTGGTGAGCTAGTCGTGGACAGCAGTTTCTGCTCACCCCGTCTCTCTCTCTCTCTCTCTCTCTCTCTCCCTTTCTCGTCGTCTCTATCTGTCTCGTCCTGTCTTTCTCTCTCTTTTCCACCCTTCCTATCATCGTGCTAGCCGCGCACCCCTACGCGCACCCCTGCGCGCAGGGCCGAGTCTAGGAATCCAGATGGGAACATAATAGCAGCTGACCCGTCACTTTCACCGCATTCGCAGAAGTACTCTTCTTGTATGTATGTATGTATTCGCCAAAAAAAACGTGTCGCATGGAGTTTTCTGGACTGAGTGGAAAAAAGAAAATTGCATACCTATGTTAATCAAATAGTATTTTATGTATCAGAATTATTGAATATAAAATTAATAATAATTAGAGTTACCTCTTTCTTGTCATTGTTCAAAATGTGTATATATAATAAGGCACGTTTATATAGAACTTGTGTAATAAATTAACTTGATGATTTTTTTTACACAATGCAATTCCCTCCAGATAATACAAACATTTAAAAGACATTTTATCGTGAATAAATTTTTAAAAAATGCAAATGGTGTCCTTCCAAGATCATTTGCTTTAAAATTTGCATCGTATGGCATATTTTCTTCCACGATATTCTGCTGTTTTTTATTTGGACCTATCATCAGAAAGTTTGCTTATTATACTGGCAAATGCATAAAGATTATATCAAAATCTATTGATCTATTGATACATTTATCGAGCTATTATATGTTCAGTAATTCTATTAGATACTTACGACGAATTCAGAATTGCTAGAAATCGCTTGGAAAACGAAACGGGGGAGGAGGGTTCGAACTGTTTTAGACAGACTCCCTTTGGGGGTGAGTTTTGTTAAACAGCGCGCGTGTGCGGAAACGCCAGAGTCGAATTCTAGGGCAACCTGCTTTCGCGCCTATCCACTACCCCGACTGTAACCGGGTTACCTCGCCTTCTCTCGATCTCACCCGGGTCGATATCCGCACTAGCCCGTTGCCTTTGACCTTTCACCTTTATTACCTTAGCCTGATTTCACGACCGCATGCAGGTAACGACCTGTCTCATCGAATCTGTAATTCATTGGATGAAGTCCAAAAATTTTCCCTTGGATTGTTACAAATGTCACATGAATAAATTAGTTGTTGAAAATGTCGGATAAATGTATATTTTATATAATGTTTAAAAAAATATATAATATTGGTTCTGTAGAAATAATTATTCATTTTTATATGTAATTAAATTTCGTTATACATATAACATTAATTTTGATGGAATATTGTTATTATATGTATATTACATATATTATATAATAAAACATAAACATAAAAGTACATTTTATATAATGTTTAAGAAAAATTTGAAAATATATATTTGTGTTCTACAGAAATAATTATTCATTTTTCATATGTAATTAAATTTAATTATATATATATAATATTAATTTTGATGGAATTGTTATATATGAATATTATTATAATAAAACATACGTACATAAAAATGTATTTCTCTATATTTATATTCATTTCCTATGTATCTATATGTATTTTATAGCATATGTCAAACTGTCATACATAATTATGAGCCATATGAAAAATACACGAATATTTACTCCAAAATTTCGACATAATCACAATATAATTATAATGCTACTATCGGATGCATCTAACCTCATCTGATTCAAATATAAATATATGACGACATCAGAGAGAAGATGGCGGATTTACACTGCAGCCGATGACTTTTTTTAGATAGATGCGACAGCCAATAAGAAATTTCGTGTCTTAGGGATTTTAATGGTGATATATTTCTCTCTAGAAAATATAAGTTGCTATTGAATAAATATTGGTAGTCTGTATCTGTCAAAAAAAGAAAATACCTATATGATAGATATTGGCTAACCTGTGCAGATTATTTACATCAACAGTTTTTATTCTCTTCGAAAATTGTGATTTGTTTTATACAGGACTATTGTGAGTGTTTTGAGGTGTATTGTATAATATAAAATAAATTTCAAGCAAAAACGGAGCTATCGAATCGATAATTCACGTAAATTTTGATTTTGCGAAGAAATTGAACAATTTGTGTAAATATGCTGCTCAGAACACAAAACTTTTATCGTGTACATAGGAACTAATTTACAACACGTTCACACGTTGTAAATAATTGTACGTAAATGTAGATATGAGGTATTTGTAATAAAAGAAAACGATGAATTCGATGAAGAGTAACGGTGAAAGTGGTAATGGACTGGAGGATCTTGGTATACCAGGACCAGTGTTTTTAAGAGATGCTTTAACAAGTTGTACAGATCCGTTGAAAGCCATCGAGGAATTTCAAGTAAATAATAAAGAATTTTTCTAGTCCGGATAAATATAATTTAATTATGTTAAATATATGTACACATATTTTACACATAGTTGTAATCATAGTGATCATATTTCAGCTAGAAAATGGCATATTATTGCCATCGTTGAGACCTATGTTGCCTCTCCTTGATTTACATGGAGTCAGAAGATTGGATTTTCATGCTTCTGTTCTTGAGGAGTTACGAGAAAAACTGGTCAAACAAATTAATGAAATTGGCGCGGAAAGAACAGCCGACAAAAGTAGCGATAGAAGACTGAAGGAATTACTGTCTAAAAGTTTTCCTGCCGTGAGAGTTACTGGGTTACGACCTGTTGTTATGTGTATCTTGAGAAATACTCCACACATTGAAGAGAAATATTTGCGAGTGTTAGTTGGCGAGAAGGAATTGTATAATGATGCTGATACAGAAGTAAAACGTCAAATATGGAAAGATAATCAAAGTCTCTTTGGAGACGAAGTCTCTCCATTATTTAGTCGTTATATCATTGAAAAAGAACAGATTTTATTCGATCATCGTAACTTGAATAGTTTATTTTTTACACCATCTCCCAAGGTTGGTCATAATTAATTATAAATTTAAATATCATTATATATTTTCTGACTACTTCTCTTATTTTGTATAGGTGAGGAGACAAGGAGAAGTTGTACAAAAGTTAGCCCACATGATTGGACATAGTGTAAAATTATATGATATGGTACTGCAATTTTTAAGGACTTTATTTCTACGTACTAAGAACATTCATTATTGTACTCTAAGAGCAGAACTTCTTATGGCATTACATGATTTAGAGGTAAATATTTAGTACATATTGTTAATTAATTTTTTAGATATTATTAATGATATTTGACAAACTACTGTGTTACTTTAATTTTGTTGAACATGATATTTATTATTAGGTACAAGATATTATTTCTGTGGATCCTTGTCATAAGTTTACTTGGTGTCTGGATGCTTGTATAAGAGAAAAGAATGTGGATGTTAAAAGATCTCGTGAGTTACAAGGTTTCCTGGATAGTATTAAGGTATAAGAGTAAAATATAAATTTATGTTTTAATATTCTTTGTGAAATTAGGAAACCAATATGATGTAAGTTTTTTTATAGAGAGGACAGGAGCAGGTGTTAGGGGATCTTAGTATGACTTTGTGTGATCCCTATGCAGTGAACTTTCTTGCTAGCAGTGCAATAAAAATAGCTCTTCATTTGATAAATAGCGACGCGTTACCTAGAGAAAATGCAGTGCTTGTATTACTATTGAGAATGCTTGCATTAGGATTGTCCGCTTGGCAGATGATTGATTCACAAGATTTTAAGGAGCCAAAATTGGATATACAAGTTGTTACTAAGTTTCTGCCAGCACTTATGTCTCTTATGGTAATTTTAATAAAATAATTAAAGTTTTTATATAACGGATTAGTTTATAACGATGTGGATATATATGTAATATAATTACTTTTTAGGTTGATGATCAAATAAGACAATTGAATTGTAAGCTTCCACCTGATGAGAGAGAAAGTGCAATCGCTATTATCGAGCATTCTGGACCACCTCCCGATGCGTGCCAAGCATATGCTCAACTATCTGGAGTAGCAGCAGTTTTATCAATGTACTATGCATTACATGTCGGAGGTGGCGGTGGAGTTGGAAGAGGTAGAGGAGATGCCAGAGGATTAATGAGAGTGCTAGCGACACTTCCAAATTGCCAAGCGCAACGAGCTTTTGAAGATCCATTTTACATACATTGGTAACATATTTATATCTATATTTTATATATGCAATTGTTATGGAAAGAAAGCATTTCTCACAGTTTATCATTTGTTATCTGAAATGCCAAATTTTATTTGCAAATTGTTATATTAACAAATTTCATTTTTAATTGCAGGTTTCATTATTAATATTAAACATGGCTGATGAATTCTCAAATGAGTCCTTCTGTACAGTAATTTTCGACGAATTTTTCTGGCTGGTTTAGGTAGAGATAATGTTACACGGCACCTGTTGAAGTTACTTTGGTATATACATCCTAAATTACCATCTGCACGGTTACATTCATTATTGAAAGCCTTACAGCCAACAAGTCAGGTAATATTTTAAAATTAAAAAAAAATCTGTTAATTGCATTCAAATTATATATAATAATCTAGTATAAATAATAATGTATTGTTAATCAAAAATCATAAATTTTGTAGCATAACGAAGCAGTCCACAGTCTTTATGAATCTTTACGTGATAAGGTTGGTAGTCATTCTACAGAAGATCAATTAGCATCGACAACTCAAATGGACACATTAAGTCTTGATTGTTCTTCCCCTGCTCTTACTGGGATACCAACACCAACATAAAGTACATCTCTTTAAGAATATGCCTAATTCACGAAAAAATAGAAACGAAATTAAACTTCCTCAATTTATAAATACAAGGTACACATTCTCACTATGAAATGTGTGCATACTATCATTTATATATATATCTTTTGTCTTTATCGCAAATATATCTGCCACATTCTAAAAATTTTTAATAGTTATTTTGTAATAATAAAATTATTAAAGTAATTCTAACATTGTAATAGGCAATATATTATTATATATAATAACTAATTACATTTTTAAAAATGTATTTTATATCAGATTGAATATGTAAGGAAGATAATAAAATTAAAAAATTATAAAACTAACTTACATAATGGTTATACTCTGCACAGTTTTCAATCAATTTATTATTATTTTATTCAGATGTATTTACAGTGTTTGTTACTTCCATTATGAGTCTGTCCAAATAGCTAGAATCCAATTTGTAAGTCATAAGAATCATTGATGTATACATCGAAGCTTGTTTAGATTGAAGCAATGCTTGCAATGGTTCGTCAATTAAACTCAACCTGAAATAATATGTGCATATTTTAAATATTGCATTTAAGTTAACTTAAAAAAAAAATTACTTTCGTAATTATATTCTTACATTTTAATCATAATCAATCCCACAAGTGTCCATTCAGCAGTTTTAAAAATAATGTTTGCAGCAGATAAATTAAAAGTACTGATCAAGATTTTGATTAACGAATATCTCTCGTGATCATAAGTACATCGTGCCATTGAAGATGTGTCCGCATTGGTCGTTAAAGCGCGCATTAAATCTGGTAATCTGTAATTAGATACATAAGTGATTATTCATTAAGTAACTACGATTAAAGTTGAGATATTAAATTTTTTTATATTCAACAACTTCTAATTGCACCAAGATAGAGACTATTATTTACATTTTATTAAGTTTGTCCAAGAAAATTCGGCGGCGAAGTGCATTGGGAGCATGAGCATCAGTTAATGGTAATACAGAATTATCATCGTCTTTACTTTCTGACTCTTTGTTATCTTTAGGCGACGTCATTGTCATTTGTCCTTTGTAAAATGCACGCACCTATAAACATATTACAATCAGTTATTCATGAGCTGTTTGATTAAAATTGAAAAAAATCGTTCTCACCTTTACATCAATTTTCTTTGCCTCTTCTTGAAGTACAGAGAAGTGAGGCAAAGGTTTGAGCACGTTTTTCTCTAAATGTGCACGCTCTTCTTTTTCATCTTCCAACTGTAATCTATTTAATTTTTTGCACAATTGTTGATATCTATCATGCTGTGTTAAACTTTCTAATAACTGGCGTTTCTCATCCATTTCACCCATTAAAAGGCAAAGTGTATTTTCTGTAACCCATTCTTTGACACTTTGTTCAACATGCATTACAAGATTGTGATAAATATTAGCTTGTGTTCCTACATTGTCAGATTTCTTCTGTTTATACTCTTTACTTTTTTTAATTCTATCTGTATCTCTTTTTTTTCTATGTTCATTGTAAAATTTAGAAGATACTGTAGTATCATTATTACATATTTCTAATTGGGGCTCTTTTATTTTCCTATCATTATTATCACTGTTATTTATTTCATTTGACTGAGACTGTAATTTTTCATTAGTTTTGCTACTTATTTTATCTGATTGAAATTGTAGCCTTTTATTTGCATCTTTTTGATCACAACTTATTTCACTCGAGGGTTGTAACATTTCATTACAGTCGTTTTTATTAATTATTTCATCTACTTGAGATTGTAATGTTGTACTATCATTACTAGTACTTGAAACATGTGTATTTTTGTTTTCTGCATCTCTGCTGTTATATTCATGCAAGTGTAGAATATTTTCAGATTGCTCAGCAACTTTCATTTCTAAATTTTGCAAGTCTATATTTATTTTTTCAATACTATTACAGTTGTTCTTATTACACTCTGTAGATTCTTCAGAATAATTATAATCTTTTTTCTCTTGATTCAAATCTAATGAATATGTTCCCATCTTTTGTGAATTACTATTTACAGGAATTTCTTTCTCTTTTACATTGTCATCATTAATTACATCATTCGATAAATGAGAGCTATATATATTTTTTTCTCAGGACTTGACGATATATCCTCCTTTGCTTGCTGGTCAATGTTATGTTTTGTAGATTCTTCACTGTCAACAGTATTGTCAGCATTTATATTTTGTGACAGATTAATATCATCGATTTTCACTTCATCTCCAGGCATAAATTGTTTAGACTTGGGTAAAATTTGAAAAGTCGGTATATCATCTATTTCTCTCAACCATAGTGGACTCTCCAGCATTTGTTCGAGCAGATAATTGGCTGCCCCATAACACAATGAACTACAAAAATTTTTCCGCTTGCTAATATCATATACCTTGTTTCTATGTGTTGATATATGATACTGTTGTCGAATAATGACAGTCAATGGTTTTGAACAGAGAATATATCCGCATAGCTTTATTATCGCTCTCTCTTCTATGACATCTTCCATGTGACTTTTACTTATAAACCTTAGCTGAAATTAAAATTAACAAGTAATATTATTCTTATTAAATATCGAAATATAGGAAAACAATATTATGTACTTACATTTTGGAGCAGCCACTCAGTATTTACATTTGGTTCTAAAAGCTGCTCGACTATTGCAAGAGCTTTCGCGTCACATTGCTTCTTTTTTATTATAGCTAGCTGCATCTGCGCCTTACTTGAATAAAAATTCAATTCAATTAGATCAAGGTATTTAAAACGTCTGTTTTAATACCAATAATAGATTTTTACCTCATCTTTTTAATTTTCTGTTTTGCGCTCTTTTTAATCGCTGACATCGTTAAAAAGTTACTTATATTTACAGTGAGTTTAAAAAACAATAATTACGGATTATATATTAATTATTAAAACATTTCTTAGAAAGTTATAAACAAATTTTTAACTGATTCTTTTAGGTTAAAGTATATAATTTTTGTATACAGTGATCTGTGCGTCTGTGCGATAAATTTGTTATTTAATCTTGATTGGCTACCGAATAGGGAATTTCTAGAGTTGCCAAAATGTCTTAATGTATCAGCCAATCAGAGAGTTGGACGTTCGATAAATAAATATATGTTCATATGACAGAAGAACCAATCAGGATAAAGGAAATGGGAAATCCTGATTGGTCATTCAAACAATTCGAGTTATCGTCGAAGCACACTCTAGGTTCAATATGCTAAACTAAAGGCGGAATAAATTTTCGCGCCAATTCGCGACATCAATTCTGTTGTTCATGCGTGAGTGTTCATCGGGAAAAGTGTACCGGTCCATCGGAGGGTGGAGAATTCGGTGAGTTTTATCGAATATTTTGTCCTCTCAGTGTTTCACGAGTAATATGTACGTGAGTTAGTGTTGGCGTTTCGAATAATCTAATGAAATCGACGATGCTTCCATATATAATATATCATCCGCGAGTTCTTCAAACATATCGGCGAGAAGCGGCGCCTGATGACCTTGTAAGTAGAAACTGCAATATTAGGTATGTGGTCTTTTTTAATTCTATCTCTTTCGAGAGCCGAAAATTTTAAGCGAAATTTTAATTCTTGTTATATCTGTTGTGCCAAAGTTATATATATCTTGCATTCAGTTAACGAGATGCTCGTAGACAGAAATGAGAGAAAGAGAAAGAGAGAGGAGAGAAGGAAAGAGAAAGAAGAGAGAGAAAGAGAGAGAAAGAGAGAGAAGCCATAATGCTATCTCATAATGCATTTCTGTCTACTATAGCATCTCGAATCGTGAATTATATATAGACACAAATTATATAAGAGATCGATATTATATGTATATTATATTCTACCGATGATGATTTGAATATAAGGAAATATATTGCTCTAAATTGAACAAAATAAAAATAATATATTGCAATATACGTACACTGAATAAATATTTAACTTGACTAAATCATTCAATTAAATGATTATTTTGTTAATTGAACATATATAGAAATATTTAAATTAAATATATATATTAAATATTTAACAAAACGTATACTTGTCTTAAATATTAATAATATATATATATATATATATATATATATATATATATTATTTTAATAGTATTTAAATCAAATATACGTTTTGTTAAATTATTTAATATTTAATTTAAATATTTCTATATATTCAATTAATAAAATAATATTTAGTTGAACAATTTTAGTTAAGCTAACAAATTTTTTTTAGTGTAATATAAATAATAAAATAATATAATGCAATATATATAAAATATATATGCATGTATCCATGCGCTGTAATAAACTATACTTTTTAGAAAAGAGAGGAGGAGGAAAAAGTAAAATATGCCAGTAAAAAAACAGATTTAAAAGATCATTGCCAGAATATATTTCCTATATTAATTATTTTTTCTAATGGCAACAAAACACGTCACGTTTGCCATTAGCTACACAATATCGCTCGACTCATATATACTATCTCTTTCTCGCATTCATAAATATGAAAATGCACGCACGCTAAAAATTGCAAAGTGAAGAAGATACTCGTCTGTACATCGTTGATCGCGAATTTGAAATACATTCGTCTGCACTTGTGTATATTTTTTATTGTCATTCCCACATGTGTAAGGTATGTATTGTCATATTTTTTAAACATTTTTTGCGATATGATAAATCAGACTGGCTCTTTCGACAAATGAGACATTCTTTCTCGTAGGAATAAGGAATTCTATCAAATTTTTTGTAAGGATTCCACAAATACACAATTTATGATACAAGATATACATATATATATATATATATATATATATATATATATATATATTGCCAGTCTTTACATTTCTATCGTATTTAAATTTCTAAATAAAAATAAAATTATTTAGAAAACAATTTGAGGTACTTTAAAAATTATTTTAAAAGTAAAATTGACGTATAAAACGCAGATATTTTTAAAGATTTAAAGAATGAAATAGAATGAGCTAATAGGAAGCTTTTACGCACATAGAAAATTTTAAAATCACTCTTGATTATTGTTACGATAATAACAATTTCAGATTTGTGTTGCGATTATTGTAGCAAGGATCCGTAGTTTTGCAATAGCACGATCATTTGCGTTATCGACGATTTTGTAAATTTGAATGAAACGGAAATGCAACAAATCATTGCAGAGCCATTAAACTGTTTATTCGCATATGGAGGTGTATATATACGAGTATTATGCGAATCACGAAGCGTGGCGTATTCGTTCTTGCTTAACTTCACCTTTGCTTTAGCTCTTCTTTTATAAATCACTTCGGCCAAATACGCAAAGTATTTTTAATGCAAAACATATTTAGAGTGATTTTTTGAAACTATATCTGTGTAAAGCTTTATTAAAATTATAAAATTAAGGAAAACTTTGAAGATGAATATTTTTATCTTAATGCAATTTTTTTATCAAATGTATTTATAAAAAAGGAAATAAAAACAAAACAATATTTTCAAGCTATTTTTCGTCGCGCTCTCTCTCTCTCTCTAAACCACTTTAGAAAATAGGAGCTTTATCGCTTCACGTATAATTTTTACTATCACTATACAAACTACTTGCTAAATTGAATTCATTCGATTTACCGTATGATAAACTGTTATTTCTGTGGACTGTTTCAAGGCCACACATTGTTCGCTGTGAACAATAATTGATATGCCAATCAAATCTCTTTAACATCGCGGAACGTTTTGGTTTTGATTGATATATTGAGCATATAGAGTGTGATTATATATATATATATATTATATATAATATGAAATGTATATAATATATAACATGTAAATATATATATATATATATAATCACGTTCGATTTGAGCTATCCTTAACAACTAATATAAACCTGAACGAGGCGTTACCATCTCGGCATTATCCTCTAGAATGTGTGCATAATCCTTACGTAAAGAACATTGCACAACGTGAATGCTACGAGATTAACCCTTTGGCTGCGAAGGGCGCAATACGCCAACGTAAAATTGTGGACCGACAGATTAGAAGGGGCAGAGGTGGAAGCAAATTATTGATTTAGAATCCAGCGAGTTAAAACTTTATATGTTATAATTAATGACTCTAAAGATAGATCAGAGATTCACAGGTAGTTTAAAATTGATATAGCTCTTGTGCGCACGTTTAAAAACTGAATGCGACGATTTTATATTTATCATTTTATATTTATTTTACGCAGCATGCATATTTAAAAGACGTTCAGAAGATATCCCGAATATATTTTATCGCTTAAAGATATATATTTTCTGAATGTCTTTTGGATATGCATGTGCTATGTGGGATCTCATAAATATTAAATAAAAGATTGAAAGGAATGGGCTAATAAGAGCTGGTGCGTCGAAAATAGAGAACGCAGTTTTTTATTTATTCTTTATTTCTTAAGAACGTTTCGGTCTTTTCTTTGGGTAGCATGATGCATGAAATAATACTCAAAGGAGTATTAATAATGTGTGCTCAAAGAAGTATTTTATTTTCTACATCATAATGTATCACACGTTAAGCTGAAGATGGTCCAAAGAAAGGACCGAAACGTTTTTAAAGAAATAAAGAATAGGTACAAAAAATTTTTGCAATCTGATTTCCGATGCACCGGCTCTTATTTCTTTCAATCTTTCAGCCCACTTCTTTCAATCTTTTATTTCAATACATTAGAGCCTTCTCTTCATCATATAAATATTAGATGAATAAAATTGATTAAATATCGATATAATTCTATAGCTAAATATCGATGAATCTTTCAAAATTTAAGGGTCGATAGAAACCTGCTCTTTTTTTTACTATAATGAAATTATAATATTCACATGTCTATTACTGAAGCACTTTTCTTTCTTAGGACACCCTGTATGCGATTGTTCGTTTCGCAAATAACGTTCTCAGGTATTATATACGTAAGATACTTACGAATATATTGACACATAATTTTAACGTCTCTTATTCACTTCGCATAAGCATTATTATACAAAAAGTCTCTTCAAGATCACATTAATCCTCGTTCAGCGGCGCGCCCAGGTCTTTTCGAACCCAGATCTGTATGTAAAATTAATTTTTCTTTTCATAAAATTTTTTTTTACCAATTGTATCACAAAGAAAAGAAAAAAAAATATTCTCATATTTTTAAAAAATATCATTTCATATTCTAAATTTTTTTAAAAAAATTATTTTAAATTCCATGAATTATATATATTTTTACGTTTATTTACTTATTCAGTTTTTATGTCTCGTGTCTTTCATGGATATTTTAGGAAGAAAAATCTAGGTATACAATAAAATAAAAAATGTAGGTGTGCAATAAAATAAAAATAAACAATAAAAATTTTATTCGAGATAGAAAAGATATTATTTTCGATTCGAATTCACTCGGGCGCCATCCTCTGTGCAATCGTGGCGCTGTTTGAGGGTTAAAATCTGACTCTCAGCACCTTGACAGTAATATACACTGTAAACTCGAACATCCTAATCTTCCTTCGCTCTCTCCGTATTGTCATGGTTTCACAATATCGGTCCATTCTTTCGGCAACATCAGTTTGCCTCAATAGATTCTCGCTATCGTTCCGCTCGAAGAAGCTCTAAATTCAACCGAGGAATCTTTCGTCTTGCTTCTCACGTCGACAATAGCTTTCTTTTGCGCTATTCCATCTCTTCATCCTCTACTATGGATATCGGGGATCCGTTAAATGTCGCGTCGACGTGACAGGATACTGCAAGTTGTGATAGGACCTGCTGCGTCTGTAGTTTCGCGAGAACTGATTCGTGTGACGATACGCGACGTAGGGTCCTAGATAAGGCACCGTTCGTGACTCGTTTACCTCGCCGGGTTCTCGCGCCAGGGCACCAGGATAATCCGGCGCCGGATGCACGGGTTCGTTGACCGCGGATTGAAATTGCGAGAGACCGTAGAGGACACCGATGGATCTTCTCCACATGTCGTGATGACGTGCCTGGTTCTGCTGGTCCGGCTGCTGATCCTGCTGCTTGCACTGACGTCTCCTGCTTTGCGAGGAGCCGCTCTCGGTCGAGTTGCTGTCCTCGCTGGTGCCCAAACCGGGATCCCTCTCCTCGAACGCCGCCATGCTGGTCGCAGGACTGTCCTGGAGCGGCTTGACGGCGCCCGCAGTGAAATAGACTAGATGAGGATGCGGGATCACGTAGGGTTGCTGAAGCTTGTGCGCTAGTTCCTTTTCCTGCGTGCTGTTCTTCGCATTCTCCACTTCCCCGGGCTCGTCCTGTCCGCCACTGCAAGCTCCAGGCCCGAAGAGGGACAGCAACACAGGTAGCAGGAACATACCGTGCATAGCGCCGATGAAGATCACCAGGAAGACCATCTTGAAGAACACGAGGAAGAGATAGGTACCGGCCAGCAGAAGCGCCATCAAACCGAGGATCGTTGATGCAGCACCCTGAACGATTGGTAGACCTAAGCTGTACAGGCTGTCCTTGACCCGATCTTCCGCCCGCGTTTGTTTCGAACTCATGTAAGCGTAGCAGATGTGCGCGGTGAAGTCGACGCTGAAACCGAGACACATGATCAGATTGATCATGGAGATGCTGTCGAGATTGACGTCCCAGAGCGCCATGTAACCGGTCACCCCGAGCTCGATCGACACGATGCAGAAGGCGACCCACAGGCAGCAGAAGATATTGGGGATGAAGATGAAGCTGATGAGCATCATGACGAGGGCGCCGAATACCATGCACTGGATACTGGTCGGCCGGACCAGCTCGAATTGATCGAAGAACACAAAGTACGGATGGAACACGCTGGCGTTCAACGGCGACATGTCGCAGATGTGACGTAGCTCCTTCACCATGTCCTTTTCCTGGTTCGTGCCGCTCACATTTACCGCTTGTATTAGAAACCGGCTTGCGACAATCTTCTCGCCGGTCTCGTCGAACTTGACATCCAGGGAAAAGGAACTCGACGGGAATAGCCAGAGCTCTTTGAGAACCTTGGTGAAATTATGATTATCCTTGATAGTCACGTTCAGATAATCGTCGTTGTTGGATATGTAGCCGAGAAAACTGCGGAGCCAGCTTTCAGTATAGATCGGCGCGCTTATGTATCGACTCGCCTCGAGGCTTTTCGTTAGATTCTCCACCTGCTGTTGAATTATTGGATCGCTGTAGTCGTACTCGCCGGCCAGTACCACCTAAAAAACGATAAAAATACGGCATATATATTTTTTGATTAATGAGATATATATTTTTTAGAACACAAATTTTGGGGCGAAAATTTCAACTGCTAATTTTCTTTCGAGAGCTTGAATTTTTACTTATTAAACTAATTATTCACTATAATATTCATTATGATTTATTTATATAATAGAAAAATATTTATCAAGAAAATTAAATTATGTCTAATGTTTCAAATTGTTTAATAACACTATATATGTAATAATCATATAATATAATTATATAAATATGATACATAATATGATCTATATTACATTTATATAATTACATGTATCATATATATATATTACTATATTATTATGATTTTATATCTTGTTATACTGAAAGATTTATGTAATTGTATCATACATCATATTAAAAAATTGCAGGCAATTTAACTGCTTAATAGTATATGTAATTATATAATAAAATTATATAAATCTATAATAATAATATTATATTATATTATAATTTTCTTATTAAGCAGTTTAACAACTCTGGCAAATTAATTGTCTTGCTAAATATTTTTTATTATCAAAGATCATAAGTGAATAATTGCGAATCGTTTCCTATAACACACCTACACACATCTATTGAAATAACTTATTTAAAAGCTTAATTAAGAATTAATTTGGCCACTTATTGTTGCCCTGCTTTTCTTCTTCATTTCTTTCATACGACTCGCAAACATAATGATAAGATTGTCAACACCGACCGCAGGGAATGTAATGTCGAAACGCGAGTACCTTTTCGGGAATTCCAGCACTATTATATTCGTGTGAAAGTAATTTCGAGAAAGCGAGACATAACGTTGCGGAGGCCTCCGTCGAGCCGCAACGTCATATTTTGTCATGATTATGCAATTTTTGTTTTATCTGTCGCCGTGACTGACGTACATTTCGACATAAACATTTCGCGGGTGAACCTAATTATGCCGCGTGTCGTTAAAGAATTCATCGTGACAGTGGTTTTCTCGGTGAATGACGTTTCCGCGAAGTCATCGGAACTCGTGAGCGCGCACTCGCGACTCTCGTGACGTTATTAATATCGCGAGGAAACGCGATAGCGCGGGACCATCTTTGAGAAACGCTACTTTCACTACAATGTATCGGGACTAACGCAACGGGGAAAAAGGTCCCAGTGAAATTCGCAGTTCGACCATATCTTGCCGAGTTTATAATTTTATTTCATCGAAGCGAGACTTTAACGCCACGTAAAGAAGTAACACGCATATAGCGTTGAAATCTCTTTCGACGCGCTGCGTTATGAGATGTACCTAATTATCCAATTAAAACGGAAGCTGCACAACAGCTTTTTCCGTTGAATTTATTTTCTAATTTTTAACTTTTTTTTATATCAGACATATATGAATTTATGAGGCAATATTTAATTGATATTTGCTAAAAAGATTTAAAATTAAGATTTAATTAAAATTTTAATTAAGTGAAATACACATTCAATATTATTCCGAATAAAAAAAGTTTTGAAACTAATTATTACAATTTATAAAAAAAATGGTGTAGTTTCTCTAAAGCATTTAGAAAGATGTTGTAAAATGTTGTATAGCGAATGTTGAAAAAGGAAGTGGAGGAAGAGGCATGTTCTCGCGAGTGTAAATATCCGGTATGAAATTGAACGTGAATTGCCAGGCAATTGAAACGCGGAATCTCTCTGTTTAGTTGGTCTTTCTTGTCGGTCGATCGAGTCGGAGGAGAGCGTGACGTAACGAACATTGCTTTTCTTGAAGTCCAAGCTAGCCGACCGGAGAAAGTTGTTTGCACGATATCGCGTTGTATCGAGGGGAACACGTGACATAATTGCGTGTACCGGATTATGCGTGGCGGTTCCAAGCGTAACGCACTACGTTCTTCCGATATTAATATGTTTCTTTTTCCTTTGCGCCACTTATGAAGAAATACTTCTCCGATACTTCGCTTGCACGAAACGGAATTTTCTAAATATTGACTTGACGCGGATCTCAAGACGCCGGGATTTTTTTCTGACTTTAAGGTATAACCGACGAGCTGTCGCAATTATAAAAATCTATAGATCTTGCATAAAGAATGGTGTAAAAATCAACTTTCGACTATATATTGACACTCGATGAGGTGTCGGAATGGAAATTAAGATTTGTTTCTTACATATACTCTCACGTAATAATACTTTAGACAAGTGAAAGTGATACTATTTTTCTCGGCATTTTCGTAATATTTTTTTTCACTATAAAGTAGATAAAGTATGCGGATTTTAATAATAAAATACAAGAAACTAAAGGAACTAGAAAAGTGATTTATCACAAAGAAATTGGGAAATTCTTGTCGACTATTTCGTAATTTTTTTTATTAAATTCGTGGCACTTACCTGTATCCTGTACGGAAACTCCCGGAAATAATAGTCCTCGCGGTCGTAGAAAGCGATCGAGTAGGAATCTTCTTTAGAAAGCTTGCGTCGATCCAGACCTTCTTTAAGCGTTGTCAGTCCGTAAAGGGCACCAAGGAGATAGCACACGAAAACGAGAATGATAATCACTTTCACAAGGCGACAGTTTAGCGCGTCTGCCAAATAATCACGGAACCAAGTCATGCATCCGTGCTCGGGATTGTCGAGTGGATTGTGAGGGTCGTCAGGGTTAATTCCGCCGGAACATAGTACTCTGTAGAACCACGATCGATGAGCTGAAAATGTCGAGACACCTCATTAAATGCAGAGAATGATACATTCGTACCAGAACTCGTGAAGCTCGATTAATTCGATTAACCGGTTGACCGATTAAAATCTGGTTTACCGGTTAATCGATTAGCATTATTCGATTAATCATTTCATCGGTTATTCCGATATCAACTATATTTACTTTGTTTTTTAATATTTTTTTAGAATTTAAAGATTATACTATATGTATATGAAACAATAAACGCGTTAATTTGAATATAGATTTTAATTTGACATTTCTTTTTTTCTGTGTAGAAATTGTACATACTCCCTATACAATTATTATATATTATTATAAAATTCTAAAAATAACAACTAATTGAAAAAATAATTTATTCGATTAATCATTTAATCGAATATTAAACGTTTCTTTTGATTACAACCGGTTAATCAATTTTCAACTAATCGACAAATCGGTTAGAATCACGAGCTCTAATTTGTATATTTGGTGCAGAAATTTTCTTCGCATAGTTTCTCATTCAGGCAGTTGCAAAATGCTGCAATCACTCTTGTCAGTTTTAACATTATGATGGTTTACACGAATGACAGAAATAGCATGAATCTTTTTCGATATTTCGCAGTCGTCGATGTGACAATAATATGTAGAAAAATAAAAACAGGGAGAAAGCAAGCTCTCCTTTGCCATTACATAACATTGTGTGATCTAACGAATTAACGGTATTCAAACGTAACGTGTCTATTTGCACGACGTAACTTCAATACGTCATGCAGACGTAACGAGATTTCGAATGGTAAAATGGTTCTGAATAATGATGATTGACATAACAATAGAAATAACGAGGTGGGACTACTAATTTATGTGGATTGAAATTAATTAACTCGAAATTAAAATAAAGTGCCAATTAGTCGCTCCAACAAAAGATGTATAAATCAGTTATGTGAAAAAGATTTTGATATAAGAAAAAGAGAGAGAAAAAGGGGAGGATAGATAAATTATATTTTACTCTATATTACGAGAACAAAATAATTATAATACTTACTAGATTTAGATAGAGGTTCCACTTTGCAGCAGAAAACGCTGTGCATATTCTTTCGTTCGCAATAACCGCTGATCGCGACGCATCCGCTGAAGAATGTTAGATGAAACAGGAAAGTGAAGACTACCGCAAAACCTGTCATTTAATGGATGTTCGATATTAAAAAATATGAATTATGGATATTTCAAGAACACAAAGATATCTCGAAATATTTCTTACTATTTTGCATTTTCTTATTGTTAAAGATTTTCCAATTTTTAAAATTCTCTGTGTGTATTTTTAGCAAAAAAATATCGTGCGATATTATCAGTTTAAAATATTTTGCGTAAAATGATAAATAGAGATAAATAGAGCTATAAATAAAGATTTATTTGCATGGAGTACCTGAGTAGATGCAAAAAATCTGAACCGAAGGGAAGGGCGATAAAATGCCTATGAAAAAAGATATCATATCCGTTAGAGATGTGATGGTGATGGATACGGCAGCTTCGCTCAACGTTGCTGCCATCCTTTCCGGTACCGGTTTAGAAATACTCGTTCTTCTCCAGGCTGCTAGCATAACAAAGGTATCATCGATCCCTATTCCTGTAAACAAAAAAAATTCACGTTGACGTTCAGAATTAGCCTTACATTTTTTTTATTTCAATTCTAATTAATTTTCTTGCATTATATAAAGTGGCAAAATGTATATGTATATAATTGCACTTAATTTATATATAAAAAAATCTAAATTAGTCAAAGTTTTTTTTTCTTTTAAATTAAATTAAAATCCTTAAATTAAATTAAAAATATTTATAATTTATATTAAATTATTAAAAGAAATTTGTACTAATTTGTTGGCAAATTCGTCTTAATTTTTAATAAATTTTGTAAAATAATCTTGAAAAAATTTAAATTACGTTTGAAGCGATCCATAATCGTAAATAAGTTCTTTTTAAGCAAAGTAATTTGCGTGAAACAATATGCATTTTTAAGCGTGCCTTTTTTGCTTGAAAATTTATCACCGCCAATTCTCCTGATGTCACGTTTGTCTATACACGAGTCGCGTTTAATTTTTCAGGAAGAATAAAAGTAGGAATAGAAAACGTGCTTTCTTTGCAATAAGTCAAAATCGTGAGACAATGCATTTCGTATATGCGCAAGAGGTTTTCTTATCGAAACAACACGTAATTATACGGGACTAATCAGCATGATACATATAAGAGAGAAACGCTTTTCTTCGAATAGATAATTTTATTTGATCATTTCTTCTTAAACCGCTGTGTATATCTTTATTCATTTCATATTTCTTGGTTTATTAGAATATTTTAAAATTTGTAACAGAGAAAGAGAGAGAAATAAATGAATAGGGAGGTTTTTAAGAGAAGTCTATAAATCATCTACTTCATCCGTGCAATATAATTAAATTAAATAATGTAAAGAAGGTAATGAGGTATCTATTAATTTGGCAATCAGCTATTATATTTTTAGACGACATTTGCGAGTGAATATAATAATTGCTTTGAATTGCGATCGGTCGATTGGATCACGAATGAAGCCGTTATTATTGATAAAGACCGACTTTACTCGGCGTTGAACGCAGGCGAGCGAAACGTCGAAAGGGAAAAGAAGACTTCCGCTTTTCACATAAATCACAGTATGTTTATTTCGCTTATACACACCTGACATATAAGCTAACTAACGTATTTATCGTCGAGAATGTACGTTTCTATGAACGTGACAGGGAATTACGGCATCGTATTGCAAAAAACGGCTAAGCCCTGTCGTTATTTTCGTTGCTCAACTTACGCAAAGTATTAATCTCAACATATCGATTGACAAACCTTCGAATATTTCGATATAATTAAGGATTTACGAGGAAAGTTATATAGCGATGACGGGAAAAAGCTGCATACATAATATTTCAAAATGACAAATTACTCGATTATTTCGAAATTATGTATTAATATCGATAGATGTAATCCCTTCTCGTTAAATGTTGAATAAAGATATTATTTTCTTTAAGTACTTTTCAAATGCGGAATTAAGATTAAATTTAGATTCTTAATAAAAACTTGAAAAAAGTGCTATATTAAAAATTAATGATTCTAGCAGGATTCCAAATAATTTATACGCGAAATAATGCAAGCGATGTATCTGTTTAAATGTCAAATCTCGTACTTTTCCTCTAATTGTATATCGGATAATTGAATTATACGGAAGATAAATTTATACGTGGCGTGTTCAGATAGTCGAATTATTGATGACAATTTTAACAATAACTTACCTATCATGAGAAACGGCGCGGCAAGATTGAGACCGATAAAATCGACCCCCAGATAGATGCATAATCCGAATGCAGCGACCGTCGCCATGGCGGCCGAGATATTGCCGAGAAGACCCAGCCAAGGCTTGCTGCGTACCCAATCGGTCATCATGCTTGTCACGACCGAGAACAGGCCCATTATGATAAACGTGCTGGTGAAATACGGCACGACCGTCTTGGTGTTGGCCTCCAGCTCCAGCTCGAGGGTTCTCGAGGCGAATCTCGCGGTGCTAATGTGCTTAAACCTACCTCCGTCCTCGGCCTTGCCGACGACCTCTAGGAAAGCCTCCTCCCAGGCGGCGCCTCTGTGATTCCAAAATTAAAAACGCGCTTGAATTTAGAGATCCTTGAAGAAAATTTCGATAGGACTTCACTTGATTTCAAAATGAAGAATACAAGACGCTCGTATATGTTATATATTTTGACAAGACATTAGGTGGTTGTACTTTATTGAATTTTAATTTTGCCGATTTATATATAATATGTATGTATATATATTTGACATGAATATGACGAGAAGGCTATCAATATGCCTCTATATGCAATATTTAATGACACAACAATAGGTAATCAATACGAATAGTCGTGAGTGAATCAGATATCTATTATTTGCACGAACAATATATATTACTAATAGCAATAGATGATTCAATTGAAATATCCAATTGGCGTCCATTTCATAGATTAACAAGACGATACTTTTTCACAAGCATGCTGATTATCCTTAATAATTTTAAATAATAATATATATACTACACTTTTTTGTATAATGCAAAGGTTTTTCTTTAATTTTAACATCTCAATTATATTTTATCAGATTTTAATTATAATGCTCTGCAAATATCGTTTTGTAAAACGCGCATATATTTTCATGAAACTCAAACCCCTTGCGTATCGGTGAATTATGGTCAAGATTATAGTTACGTTCAAGCTCGCGTATAAGAAAACTGACCAGTTTTTTCGCGGCAAACTCCGCGAACATATTCGCGAGCTCGCTAAATCGAAGAGTTAGAACTCACATCGCGTCTTGCTGCGGACTATCGACCGTGATGAAGTAGCCGAGCTGTACCGAAGGCGCCGATTCTACAGTGAGATCGTCATTGAGGACACTTCCGCCGAAGAATACCGGCAACAAATGTGCGTCCCAGGTGGCCGGATTGATCGTTATCGGGAATGTCAGATTTAACTTCCGCCTTTCCACCTCGCTGCAAAAGTAGAAAACTCGATCAAAATTCGTCGCGATTAACAAATTTCTTTAAGCAAAAACAAAAATAGGCCGATATTCATAGTCCGATCTTATATTTAAGATCGTCTTGATCAAATTTAAATATAAAATCGGACTATGAATATAAATAAAAAATCGAACTGTTTTTTTTAAATCGGGATATGCGATTCTTCCATTTTTTTGGGCATATTTATATATTGCGTCATAATTACTCTATCACGTGATGTAGATTTAGGATATCGTTGGTGAAACACTCGTCGAGCCATCGTGCGCAAATCTGCTCGTACGTGTATACATTGTCCTCGTATTTTGCTTTGGCATTTCTAATTATTCGATCGAGTTCCATTAGCTCCTCCCAAATCGTGCTTTTCAACATATTATTCCCGCCATCCTTGGGAATCACGATTACATGACCAAATCGGCCTGTAACAAACAACAGATTTAATTGATTTCTAACTAAGAACCATGAAAAGTATTTAATGATAGCAAGAGGAGATTGAGTCGTGGACTAGTTTTCTACAAACATGGCGAAGGAAGTTTAATTATGAAAATATTTAATAATAGAAACCAAAGAAAGGAAAAGATTCGAGGAAATTAATTTAAAGTGAATTTTATTTTACAAAAATGAAGAACGAAAACCGAGATTCTGAATTCAATAATTTTAATGTCCAAGAACTTGTGAAAAAATGATGAGGTCAAATAATTGATTATTAAAAGTTATCGAATAATTTTCCTTTGTTTGCAAGAAACTGGAGCATTTTATAAATACAAGGAATGTGTTATGCTACGTATCAACTATGTGTCAACTATATCGATTACGAGAATCTGGGTTTATTAGATTCATGGAATTCTTCGTGGGAGAGGAAATCGTCAGAACGACGCGGAATAAATGATTGATGAAACTCTCACCTGGTCGAGTAATACGACCGACATTGAATTGATGACTATAATTGACTTTGAAGTATTGCTCGACTATCGCTCGTTCGGTCTTGCTCGGGCCGTTGACGGGCGAGAAGAGGTATTCCGGATCAATTTCGTAGTTTATCCTCTGATAACCGGTGAAGCATATGCAAGCCAACAGTATCGGCACAATTATAAAATAGCCGGGATGTCGGCCGACAAGCAGGCCGACTTTGTAAAACGCGCGGTTCAAGAAATCATCGACACACGTCAAGTGCCACATCTGAAAGCGAAAGTAATACAAACTCTTCTGTTAATTTTTATTTCATATAAAAATATACAACAATTATACACCATTAATAAACAGATTTATTTAGAAGGCCTTAACGAGCAAGAATATAGAATACTTACAATATAGAATACTTACAATATAGAATACTTACAATTAGTTACAAAGTTGCTTTAAATCTCCACGATTCTCTAATGACAAATACTAATTTATATAATTTAATCAAACGGAATACTACATTAGAATTTGAAGAAAAAAGCGACTGAAGAGACGCGAAGTTAGTGTCGAAACGTCTCGCATATTTTTATTTTATTATGTATATCTGAATTTATAGTTGCGTTATTAATTCATGATACCAGTTGTAACAACTTTTTTTATATTCTCCTAAATAAGTTAAATTTATTAATGTATACCATTAAATTATTGAGCTATTAAAAGTTCATTAATTAAAAAAAAATAACCGTCTCGAGATTTTCGTCACTAAAAGTGAAAACGAAGTCTACGGTATAGGAATAAGAAATCAAAAAGACGATCGGTTTCTGCAAACGCAATCTCAATTTTGAGCGATTTGCAAGTGATAAAAGTTGTGTAGAAAGTATACTTATTTACAGGTGTAAGAAATGTTTCAAGCTATCCAATTAACGTTTCGCATTTTAATTTATAATGCATTACGCGCGTATATATCTGCATCGGTAAATGCAAAATAAGTTGCTGTGGTCGAATTACTGCGTATAGAATAGAATCTTTCTCTACGGTTCGTTAAACTCATAACGCGAAAAATGTGCTGCTCGTAATCTTTTGTCCCCCTCCTTGTTCTCTTTCTCGTCTTTTGTGTTGTTACGTAAACTTATTATTTGCTTAAGTCGATGACTGCATTCGACATAACAGCACGGCTCGTTTATTTAATGTTCTTTGAAGTAGAATATGCGAAAAAAATTCTGTCATTTGTGTCGTAAGGAGTTAAGTTAAGACTTTGTAGAACTGAAGTTTTACAAAAGCAGGCAATAAAGTAAAACTTATAATTTCAATGGTTAAGATGTCAGAGGGAATATATAAATCAGAGAGCACTAAAAGAAAAATATATAAAAATTAGGATGTATATCAAAGGTATAAGATGTTGAAGGAGTTTTTGTATCAATGATTTTAGAATTCGTATTGTTTTTATGTTTGTAATATCGAGAAGTCCAAATTATGTTTGTGATTGATTTTAAAAGAAAGTATCAACTTGAACTATTTGAATTATGAGCGATTGTAATATTAAAAAATTTGCATGAGGAAGCTTGTAGGATGATTGTCATTGAAATCATGTAGAAAAGTGTCGTCAGACTTGACCTACATTTAAAATTACGTGTTCGATATATTAAAATCACGAGATCATTGACTGCATTTTACAGAAACAAATCGTATATTAATTCAACGATGTTTATAAATGTTAATTTTTTAATGCATTTTTTCTTTTCGTATCTTTTCGATCTTATCTTTGTATCTTGCCTGCATATAATATTATATAAAAGAGATAGTTTGTATCATACATATGCATATAATACGTGCATATAAAAGTTATGAGCAATTTTGATTTTCTTGTAGATCGTAGAAAAAATAAAACTGATAAAATAAAGATTTATAAAATTAGATAAAATCAATTTTTTAAATTTAAGTTTTTTTAAACACACACATACGTACAAGTTTGTCGTAACTGAGAATCAATTAAACTCTCTTAAACTCGCTCTTTATAATATCTCATTAATAATTCAACAAAATTTCAACTGTCTGATCTCGCGTATTATATTTACATATCAATGACAAGAAATGATTGAAGAATGATTGTATAAGAGGTATTTGCAAAATTATACATATATAATTGTCTAATCTGAATAATAACGTAATAAAATAGTACACAATAGCAATAAAATATTTTGTGCCATCTTCTTTGTTCATCATCGAACTATCGTGCGATCGAAAAGATTTGTCTTACAGTTAGCAGAGGGAATATTTGCTTGCATGATTCTCTGATCAAAAAAGGGCTCGAATGATCGAAACGAGAATCCTATATCCTTTGTTCCGACACAAAACTTTATTTCATGGGACGATGGTGCCCCCATAAGGGATTACATGACACACCGAAGGAGGATGAATCATCCCTCGTCAGATTTTCGCGCACGTTCGTCTTCTCACCTTGAAGTGTTTTAAGAAAGTTTTTAATTCGTTTTGCGTATATAGACAGTCCCAGAATATATGGTAACTATATAGTCGATTAATCAATTGAATTAAAAGAAGACAGATCTCTTAATAAGTATACACTGAAAACATACTTTTATATGGAAATTACTTGTTCAAAATTAGAAAAATTACTTAATTATCACTGTAATTTTTTTTACATATTTTTTAAAGTGAACATCACTTGTACTTTTAAATTTAGTATTTTTACTTTATTAGAACTTTATTTTATAAGCCTTTATCTATTTTATTTATCATATTATTTTTAGCATTTATATACATCACTAGCATTTTCTATGTGTAATTCCATGTTCAGTGAAATATTTTTAATCTTGAAAATATATAATAATATATTTCATATGAAATTACATACAACCTGTAATTTTCCATATGAGTAGCAATATTGCATGATTATGTTGGGGTCGAAAAAAACCCAGCAAAATCATGTAATTTCGCAAGAATAATAACTAGATGTGTCAAACACAGGGTATATATACATATATTGGGCAAATTATACATTTCTTATTTTCGAATTTCGTCTACACGTTATTCAAGTATGCAGTCTCGCGGTTGCAAAATCCCGAACTTCAACGCAACAAAGTAGACCATAATTTTCTAGAAGCGCGTTGCGCATCAGTATCGCAAATTCCCCCATAAATTTCCGACCTAAATCGATTGTGTATCTCCGCTGGCGAAATAAAAAAGTTTCATAAATCTCAAGGAAAGCCTTGGTAACGGTATACGGAGTTTCGCGACACGCGAAAACGACGTTACAGCCGCGAACGCGCGTACATATATATGGATTCGCGCACAGAAGAGGACGAGGTGGCGAGCGACTTTCTAAAACCGCGATCCGGGGGCTACGGATTTTCCGTCGCGCACTTATATCATTAGCGAGAGACACACGGTATCGCGATGAAGTTCAGAGGCCAGTACCCTTCGGCACGCGCAATGTCTCTCGGAGAAAGTCACGTTGGGGCTACTTATTGGGTAATTCCGTCTCGCCGCGCACTTGTCGTTTCTGCTCGTTTAGATACGATTGAATAACAATCGCATAACAATAATCGGGCGCTTTTGCTACGCCATTTTGGAATCGCCAGTTGCACCGGTCAGTTGTCCCTAATCCCCATCTAATTGCCCAGACAGCACCAAGTCTAAAATAGACGCATAAGATATCATTAAGAAATCTTTAAGACTTTATATAAGAAATCTTATGATATATATCAAAAGATATCTTAAAAGATATCTTATGTGCTAATTTTGGACTTGGTATTGTCTGGGTGTGCTTAGATAGTTTCAAGATTAGATAAAAATAAGAGGAAAATTATGTAAATTTATCTTAGATAATATAAAGATGACTTTTTAAATATATCTAGAGAAAAGAAAATTATGTAGAGTGATTCATCTAGATAACTTTCAGATTATATTATTTTTAAGACCGCTTATGTAAACACAGTTATAAAACAATGTAAATTATAAAAGGAATATAAAATGCTTAAATTCTACTATTTAAACATTATTCTACATAATTTAGTAAAGATATGTAACATTTTTTTTTTCATCTAAGATGCAGATATAGATAATACATATTTTTATTATTTATAATCTATTATATATAAAGTCAAGATAAATTGTATTTATATAATTTTATTTGTAGATGACAACAAACACTGCTAATTCCCATCGGGGTTGTCCTGGATTTTATCACGCGTGTGTTTGGAATGTTTGACGAGAATATGTTTCTCAAGTCGATGACAAAAGAGATCGTCGTGTGCAGTTTTGTAAATTATTTTGCAATTCTCTTTATTCTAGAGAGCCATTATTTCAGGGCATCAGAAGTAACTTTGGCCTGAGCTGAATAAAAAATAGCTTTGATAATCGACTTCGGACTTATTCAGCTCTGATAAGTCATTGTTTTTAGTATGGCGGATAATTAGAATAGTTTTTCTTGCTTTACTCCAATCGTTAGATAAGTAAGAAAAGTAAAAAAAAAATGAAAGCGATATATACGTAAGATATATATGTAATCGAGCCTTCGTCGGAGCGGACTTGAATCATTGGATAATAATACTCGTAAATATTTTCCTCTTTTGCGCAAATTACATACGTCGAATCATATAGTTTGATCGATAAAGGCTAAAGAGCAATGACGGACTTTACTTGATAATAATAATAATAATAATTTATTGAATGAAATATTGAGCTGCTGTTACATGACTCTCATAACTGTCAACTTGATCTTGTCTATTAGTTTTATAAACATTGATCTTAATTGCACCGGTCTAATAACTTGGAAGTCATCGCTTATCTACGCTGTCATTGGCATTATCTTATGTTCTTCGAAATTAAGAGTGCTATGGAACGAAAGATCGAAGTGCATGCTGTTGTGACAGATTATTATCGTTATACTCAGGTCACTAGGACATTCGCCGCTATCTTGTTAATGCTGTGCCAGTAATTATAAACGAAGGAAAACTACTAAGCCTCTAGCGACCAGTATATGATTAAGAATGAATTGCACTGAATAATTTATTTGAGAAATTACAGAATTAAAAAATATGCGGCCCTCAAGCATTGGATATTAAAACTCTACGAATTAAAAAAAAGCAGGAAGACGGTCTCCATAATCTAAATAGAAAGTTGAAATTTACAAATTCGTATTTGTATCGTACATTTGACATTTTTATTTATACACGAGTTTTACTATAAACTTGAGACATTATGTCGATTGTTAGGGATTTGAAAAATAACATCGATGTCGAAAATATATAAAGTATATATATTTGACAAATGAGAATATAGGATCTAGAAGAGGCGGTATCAGAAATCTGCGTGGCCTACTATTTCGAGGCATTTCGAGCCATTGAATTCTGAGCGATTGAAAAGAAATCTTTGAAGATCGCAATCTCACGAATCGTGATCTCGCGAATGGAATTAAAATTTATGTATAATATATTATATATCTTTTGTATAGATCGGTGTATTTCATTCTGTACGGCACGAGCCTCGTAATAAACTGTCGACTCGTTAAAAATGATGATGGCTAATGATACTGATGAAGTTCCAAACAACAGTTGAAAATGCAAGACACACATGCGTCTTAACGACTCGCTCGCAGAATTTTAATTGTCGAATTTCACCGAGCGAACGTCCTCGTTCAGTCTCGCGATTCGTGAAATTCGCATGTAATAAAGTAATAACTCCTGCCGAGAGACAAACCGAGTAGCAGACATTGACGTTTACAACTTCCCGTGATGACGTTGAACGTTGTGACCATTAGGAGAAAATTGTCCGAGTATGGGCAGGATATGAATGGAAGTGACGTGAAAATATAAATCATATTATTTATTACTGCTTTATATTACTATTTTATTCCATTAGTTGAAATAACGTAAAAATAATATGATATTTTTTTATAGACCACTGCTTCTTGTTCCTGAGTTTCGTAATCGTAATCTTCGCGCGAAATGAAAAGTTGCTTTCCTCTCTTCTCTTGTGCTTCCCCTAAATATTACTATAATATTAGTCGATGAATTCAATGGGAACGAAATTATACAGATAAAAACTCACGGCAGAGGGAAAGTATATTCGAGCATAAGAGTGATTACTTCCTGGAGACTAGGAGAGTTAGTAGAGTATATGTTCAAGTGGCTGAAAGCAGTCTCAGTGAGCGAGTTTTTAATTTCATTTACAACTTATTATATATTTCTATTTACTCACTGCTATTGATTATTGTTTTAAATTTTATCACTTTGTTGTGTCTAATAATAAAATAGAAAAATACGCGTTTAGAGCCTTTCTTTTTTCGAATATTATTAATATTATCAGCGAAAAATTGTGAAAAATATATGTTCTGTCTCATAATAAAATAGAAAAATGCGCCTTTCTTTTCGAACATTATTAATATTATCAGGGAAAAATTGTGAAAAATATTGTGTAACAAGAGAGAGAAAGAGATTAAATGTCAATTGAAATGTGACGAAACTTGACACATGTAATCGTGATAAATTAATTTTATTATTATACTAATTATTTATTACTATTTGCAATTATTTTATTTATATTTACCTCATTAATTATTAGAGAAAAACAGCCGGTTGTAACATATTTATATTCAAAGCAATATCTTAGAGTTTGCGCAAACGCGATGCAGTTAACACCGTACTGCGTCAATAAGAGTTTGTATATATTCATTGCACGTCGTCCGCTATCATGACGCAATTGTTGTACTCAATCTCAATATTATTTTACATGCGATATGTATACAGTAGTGTAAATTATTCGTTAGTTATCATTAAGTCCAGTCTCGCGCAAATAGTTGACATGAATATATGTTAGGAACTTGTCTTCGTTTTCTCTCTCTCTCTCTGTCTTTATATAAAAAATATATATTTTTTATTTCTATAATCTATAATATAAATTAATTTATATATCAGTTAAGTATATAATTAGTATTTTATAAATTAATATATACTATAGATTATAGAAAGAAGAGATATACTATTTTTAAATTCCTGCATATAAAAGACTCACGTAAAACTTTTCACATTACTCTCTCTTTTCTCTCTCTATTAATATATATATATATATATATGTGTATATATATATATATATATATATATTGTGAATATTATTGGCACTTTTACCGCCTGCTGTTAATTTGTATCGGAATTTAATCGTTGAACGATCATATTACTAATTACGAGTGGTAAATGGGGCTATTATACCCTGACAACATTCTCGTTTGTCGCAATCCACGACTGCGATTAGCAATCTTGGTCTCCCTTGTCCTTTCGTTAAATACCTTTCACGTATGCGCGCGCTCGCGTTACGCAGGTGCGTTAAATGCGCGCGCACGTGCCCAAGAACAGACATTACCAGCCGCGGCGATTCCTCTACCTTAACGATAAGCAAGTGCAGCGTGTCGATGTGAAAGTATGCCGTGACTAAGGAGAGAATTTTCCATTTCGTTATTTACAAGCCTGGGCACTTTCGTTCTTCTTGCACGTCTCGCGTCTCGGCGTATCTGCGAGATACGCAACCCTTTCTAAACGTCCTTAACCCTCGCATTATTCCATCTTTCTCTCTCTCTCTCTCTCTCTCTTTCACAAATGTTCTCCTTCCCCCGTATACGAGCTGGAGAAAGCGCAATAAAGGGTTTTATTCCTTTTCTGCAATAATAGATTTCATTGTTACCGTAGATTGTTTCATAAACAATTTTTTATTACTCTTCATGCTCCGGTGACTCCATGGAAGTAATCGAATCGAGTTTTTCCATACAATCGAATTTCTCGAAAACTGTATAATCACGTTTTTTTACAACTTTTGCGACGTAAAGGTTGATTAGAATTTGACGCTGTTAAAAAGACCGTAAATTCTCATCGATATATGTGTTTAGAGTTTAGGAAGCGTTAGATGCGCGTGTAAATCTCACCGAATGATCATAAATTTCTGATCGTCCGCAGATCGATATACTTTGCGAAAACATTACGCATATAAGAGCAGTTTCTCTTTCCGGGTAGAGTTCTCGGAGCAAACTCTCAGATATATATTTCTTCGGTAACCGGCTTCATCTCGATCGATATTCCGGCAACATCTTGCGCAAAACGAAAGTGAGAGTGACACAAGGCGATCTGTATCCGAGGAAAAATTATGGAACCGTGGCTCGATGACCGACTTCGGTAAATGTATGTAACTTCGTTAATAAAATTACGAGAATAAGGCGTAATATACATGCGGGACACACTTCTGAACTCGTTCACCCGATCAATGTGCTCCTTCTTTCCGAAGGCAAGCCGGTGGCAGTCGCGGTACCGCAGCGACAATAATGTAATTTTGCATTTTTTTTTCCTTACATCGCGTGTAACTATCTTGCAGTATTAGTCGACGGTTTATGAGCGTCTCTCGGGATGGGTTAATTTTAATTTTAAACGAGAAACAAAGAGGAGCTTCGGCAAATGTAAAGTTCGCGATGAAAGCCATTGATCAAGGTTGCAGGTGTTTTTTGCTTATTCTTTTGATGATTCGGTTCTTGAACAAAGAGTGTCGGAGTCGGTGTTTCCTTAGCGAAAACATATGGAACGTTGAATATTAAAGATGATATTCATTTCAATGATGCCTAATAATAAAATAAATGAAGTTGCGTTATTTGGAAATCATTTTGATGTATTTATGCGAGAAAGTTTCTTGAAGGAAGAACGTGATTTTACAATGCGATCTGTATTTAATAGAGCCTTTTCGTGTAGAAAACAGAAGCTTCTGAAAAATAAGATGTATTATAAATCTTAGATGTCAAAAATAGCTTCTTTTTTTTTTTGAAAAGAACCTGTTCTTCCTTTTGTCATTTATAGGGTTTTTAGGGATCGTGACTTGAATTAGGCAGCAGGTATGATCAGGTAGCAGATCAGTACAAATCAGTACAAAATCATCTGATTTTGTAGCAAAAAATCACCCACTAAAAACACACATATAAGCAGTTTTCTCAATATTCTTTAAATATTTTGGAATATATGAATCTATATGTGTTACTTTCGTGAAAAGATGCTTTTAAGTCAAATCTAAACAAATTTATGCTCAGTGACTGACGAAAAAAGATCATCTTTCATTTTGTAAGTATTTGCTTCTAAAAATTATAAAAAACAAAAAAATGTTTTTATCTTAAATGATTCTTTATTAACTTAATCTTAATATGCAACAAAAAATAAAGTTTTCTTAGTATTAATTTTTTTCAAGAATATTCTGTTTATTTTTCTGATCTTTATGTTTGAAAATTAAATACGGTCTCTTTTTTCTATTCTAACGTTAAACGAAACACTCTTTAAAAACATTTAAAATTTTCTTACTTTTTTATAGTTTTTAGAAACAAAAGCAAAATGGAAAGTGGTCTCTTCTTTTTGTCAGTCGCTGTATACATATGTACTTGTAAAATATCAAAGATTGAACAATTATGATAAACGCTTTTCGCGGTTTGAGAAAAGCATCAATTATAAATTAAAGAACGTGACTCAACATAATGACTCAAATAATCGTAAACACTGTACTTTATAAAAATACAATCATTACTTCGCGGAATTTAAGATAATCGTGACCAGATTGTAACTTAGATGTTAAAAGATACAGCTTCTTTCCACTTACTTCGGAATTTGGGCAAAGTTACAAGTGAACAAAGTAACCACCATCCTTGGATATCCATTTTATCCGTAAATATATATGTACGTTGCACGTTAAAGCTTCCTCGGTTTACAGTCGTTCTCTGACAGAGCGAAAGAGTCGAGCGTGATTTACGTATATGTATAGATACATGTATCGATTCTTGTTTTTTTTTTTCTAAAGCCGTGAACTATTGCAAAATAACCGCACGGTTCGTCCGTCGTAGCTCGAAGCAATCGCTACGGAAAGGGAATCGGCACAAGGCTGGGTTACGTTTCTTAAAATGACATACGTAAATCGAGCTTTTATAACTCGCGTGTGTCGTGCATATTTATAAGCACGTTGCACGTGTGTTCGCGAACCTATTGTTGCGTCATTTGTAACTCTTTTGACATTATTTTGACGAGCATTATTTGGAAAGTGCAAAATAACGTAAGTGCCAAATGTGAGGTGCGATTTCAAACGAGGCAAAAGATATAGAAGATCAAGATAAAGAGAATAGAACAAAGCTCAGTGCATCTACATTTTAATACTGTGTCGTCAACAGTGTTTGCTGTTATCTAAATAAAATTAGATATATACAGATGATCATCCAGATAAAATTTTGACATCATTGCAAAAAAATTGTTATCTTCACGAAATTATCTAGAATAATGTTTAGAGTTAGTAACACAAAAATACTTAATTAGTAGAACTTAAGCAGTATGATAAAAACTTATAAATAAAAGCATGAATATATTTTTATATTCCTTTTATTTACATTTGTTATAACTGCGTTTAGAAGTGGTCTTAAAAATATTATCTGGAAGTTAGCTAAATGAATCGCCATATAATTTTATCTAGATACATTTAAAAGCAAATCATCTTTATCTTATTTAAGATAAATATACATATTTTCATCTCATCTTTATTTATAGCTAATTTTAAAATCATCTAACCTGGTCGTCAAATTTAAAGTTTACATTTTGTATCCCGCGAACGTAAATTTAATAAATTACGATATTAATGTTTATAAATAAATTTAATAAAGAGCCACACAAATTTCCATTTATTTCGTCAATTATTTTGATTTATATTTGATGATTCAATTATGAAGATAATAGTTATCGAGATAAATGATTTCGCCGCGCTTTGAGATTATAAAATAAACCTTTAATCAACGTCTTGACGTAAATATAAATTCTCTAAGGAGCACTTATATCTCGGCAGAAAAAAAGTTTATACTTTGGTTGCATTTTATGCACGAGCGTAAATTATGTGTTACTCTCTCAGCAGAAATGAACTTTTTATTACAGAGATATACATCTATAATGAGTAGTTTGTGTTGTCACATGTGTGTGAAAATAAACTCGAGTCAATATTTTACAATTAATATTTAATTAAGAATACATGTCCGAGTGTAAACATCATTCATAAACATCGTTGGTAATCAAACTTGTGCGAAAACAATTTTTTAGAGTAATATGTACTTGCAAAGAATAAGTTTGATAATCTCTTGGGGAAACAAAATTCCGTGAAAAACATTTATTATGGAATATATTTGCAAAATCAGGCGCCAGATAAATCCAGAATTGAATATTCGGATTATATAAAACTAATTTAAATTTCTAAAATTAGAAACTTAACTTTTTACGACGAAAAAACCAAATTTATACTCTGTAGTGTTCACACTAAAAGGAACCGTTAGAAACCTCATTTATCCCGACTCCAATAAAAATCGCATTACAAAATTAATAAATTATATATTTTCGTCTAGGAGAAAAAATGGGCAAAGACGGACGAATAATAATTTTCGTGAGTGCCGGACAAAAAAATGGGCGGAAGAGCTTCGCGGAGGAGCGAATGTAAAGTGAAATCACTATGCACGGGGTGTTTACAATTTGACTCATCGATTTGAATCATTGATTATGAAATGGAGCGCACAATGAGACATTTTTTCTCCGTCTTGGATCTACAATATACTCGTAGATCGTTCGATGCCGATTCCTCCCGATGAAACCGTCGGCCGCGCTCGCGTGCTTTCGAACCGGAAGAGATATCCGAGTGTTTAATTTATCGGTTATGGAGAATCGGCCGGCGACGTCGGCGCGCGCGATGGACCCTGGAGGAATGGACAACCGGACGAGGGCCTCTCTCTTTCTGAGGCTCACTCGCGAGCGCACACAGTTACTTTTCTCTAATTTAAATAGATTGCATAAGTGTTTCGCGCGCGGTCCATTCGACCGGTCTCTCTTCACACAAATATTATCCGGTCAATTCCGGTCTCGCCTCTCTATCGCTCTTTGAGAGATCGCGCTTTGCACGCGCAGAAAATCACGTATCTCTGCGCTTACGCGTGCAAATTCCACCGTCCAAGTATAGAATTATCGCCAATGATTGATGTATATATATATATATATATATATATAGATATATGCGTATTATCTCGGTAATAATAAGTTATCTTGCTTCGAATTGATATCGCAAAAGGGTGACTCTCTATCTGCGATGCGCGTGTAAAGTGAAATAAATCATGGCGAATTCTCTCGGGCCAATACCGAGTAATATTATTGAAAGATGCAACTGCGTCTCTCAGTATATCAAACACAATGCAGGAGCGCGTTGAAATTGCCGACTGGCATCTTGATTTATTATTATAGGCGCTTTATAGGCAATATTTTCTCCGAGTCCGAAGTCTACGGAGTCATAAAAGTGTCTACATCCCTTATTAATATTTCTCATTACATTTTTATACCTAGTACAATATGTTTTTTTACGTCTTTGTCGAGAAAATATATTGTTCGAAAAATATTTTTCCGAAGAGATTATGAATGAAATTTATATTTCAAATCCTCGCGCGTACATACGCAATTTTGAGATATTTCGCGACGTTTATTTTGATTAGTTTATCGATCGAAGTTTTGTTTTTCGAGCGCGCAAGCTCTCAACTTTGTCCCAGGGATAATTCGAAGATAACTTTTGACCGAGTATTAAAATCGAATATTTCACGCTCTCGTCGAGTGATTTTCTCGATGGCGACGAAAATGATCGATGGAGGAGGCCCTTGCGAATATCAGCCTAGCGTCCCCTCGCTACAGATTTGTCGATGCGTCAGTAATATGCAATTCCCCACCGACCCTCCGAGGTCAACAATTTGTTACGGGGACGGGGACGTTCAAGGAACATATCAACAGCGCAGTTGATTGACCTGTTGTTGTTGTGGCACGATACTAGTTTTGCTACCAGTCTACACACACACACACATATATATATACCTTTGCTCCTTTATCCGCATTGTTAAATGTCGACTGCGAACGCGAAGCAAAGGAGTCAATTTGTGTGACGTAAATGTTATTAACGTACATTTAAGTAACAAACAAGATGCCTCCACTGTTTGCATTTCGCGTCCAAAAGTAAATATGTTTGCTTATTATATCTTGCTAATTGATAAATAATCAGTAATGCGGTAAGAGGCTGTAATTATACATGTTCAACTCGCGAAACATTTTAATGCGATGTAATTTTCGTAGATAAAAATAAAAGAGAGAGAGAGAGAGAGAATGAGAACAAAACAGGGAAACTTTACGAATTCTACCGAAATATTGTTGTTTGAAAATAATAATAAAATATTTTTCTCAGACGACGATGGAGCACTTAGAGCACTTACAAGCTTTTGACAGATTCTCAATAGCAGATTCTTGAAAATATTGGTCTTCGGTTATTTTTGCACGGGTGTTTTTATTTTGACGGAATAATCTTTCTTTATTTTGCATATCCTTGACTCAATGAGATTTTAATCTCGCACATCCTGTTTGACACATCGTCGTATTTTTTTTCCACAAAATCTTTCCTCGATGCTTAAAGCGACAAGCTCTCCCATCATACATAGTCATCATTACTTTATTATTTAGAGAAACGGTACAATGGCCTTTAATAAGATAATAAGTGGTTGTGAAGCAATGAGTTAACACGAAAGTGAGTCGGCAACAGGGCGTTATAGTACAAACGTCCGTAAATGATGACTAAGGCTTGCACCAAACTGCGTGGGCATCATAATCGTATAACAAAAATATTTCCTGTTTATAGAAAAATACGCTCTTTCCGCGAACAGAATTTTCAATTAGGAAATGCAAAATGCATTCATCCTGAATTGAAGTACTTTTCTATATAAGATAAATAACGGTTCTGTCACTTCCACCCTTCTTCCTTTGTCTGTATTTTTCTTTCTTCTTTAAGAAATTAGCTGTTTTACAAATTTTAAATGGCAAACAAAATTATTATTTTTATATATAATTTAAATAGACGTGTCAATGACAATACGTGAAAAATCTAACAATTCTTTTATAGCTGTATCATCTGTGTAATATATAATAAATGTTATAAACGGACGATTATAGTTTACTTAAACGTCATTGCTTTAAAACAAGGAACAATATGAGCTGTGAGATTAATTAAGATTTTTTAATTACCTTATAATAAGTCCGTGTTCCTTGTCTATACACTTTCTACACTTATTTCCATTCTGTGCTTTCTCTCTTCAAAAGAACACATACATACATACTTATTTCATTATAAATTGCAATGTGTTTATGAAAAAAAATGTTAAATTAAAAGAAGAGAAAAGTATTATATAATTGAAATTAATATTCAACTCATAATTAATTGTACAAATCTTTACATTAATTTATCGAAACTCTTGTCTCTTTTAATTTTTTATTTTATTTCAATAACGTTGTATAAGAAATGAGAAATATGAACCTGTAAAGATATTAAAAATATGAGGATTCTAACAAATAATTATGGAAATTAAACAAAAACCTCAAGATTTATCTTTTTCGCAATCAGTCGCAATTAGTTAAATCAATCGTATCAGCTAGTTAATCATGAATGGTGATTACCTTGCTCCTTGATTAAGCAGGAAACGCGCTTTAAACACAACCTTTTGCAAACTTTCCACACAAAACTTTAGCGACACCAATTAAATCCTCGGGGCCGATTTATTGATTTTTCTCTCTTCTTCTTTTTTCTGAATTTTCCCGGTGGCACTTCGTCGCGTGTCTTCTTTCTCGTCTTCGCTGTCGGACACAGTCAGGCGGTTGTAAAAGCTGCACGTCACGTTTCACCTGCACGTCTTCGTCCGTCCGCGTGTCATGATCGGCGATCGAAATTCGAGCGTGAAGGAGCGCGCATCGAGTCGAACGTCGTCGCGGGAAGCGGGATTCGAACTGTACGACGCGCCGCTCGAGATTCCGCTCGTACCCGCTCGCAACTCGCTCCGATCGTCCGCTCCTCCACTCACCAAGCCTGGTGCATGTCCGCGCGCGAGAGATCAATCAGCACCCACGAGAGAGAAACGTCGCGAATGTTGCTGGCGCGAATTATTTGGCAAAATTATTTCGACGTGAGTTGCATCACTTTATCTCGACGAAATCTCTTTTTTTATCTGACAAAATCAGGAAAAATTGTTGTCTTTCTCCATTTTAAATCAATAATATCTTTAGAAATTCATCTGCAATCATTTTTCCATTTTTTCGACAATCGACGTTATTA